GAATCCTTTATTTTATATACCCATCTAGTCCTTAGGGTTTTATTATTAGGATTATCAATAATATCCCAAGTTCTGTTGGATTCAAGGGTGTTTATTTCGTATTCCATAGCTTTTAGCCAGTATTCCTTTTCCGAAGAGCTAATAGCTTCTTTATAGGACTTAGGTTCAATCAATACGCGATCTGGCTTATTAATAATAATCTTTTTATTATTTTTAAGCCTGGTATCGAAAGCTAATTGAAGATCTTGTTGATCTATTTCGATATTCACCCCCTTATTGATTGAATTGAAGTACCCGGAAAAGGCAAGTCCATAATAGGAAATCACGTGTTTTCCATCGTCAGCAAGGCCTTTATTATCAGGAATTAGACCTCTTATACGCTTAGATTGCCGTATAGTAGGTTCTATTGGCTCATCAAGCGTAGGTTCACCGGGCGTAGGCTCACCGGGATCGACCTCTATACAGTCGATTGTTCCGTCACTTTCGCTGTTTTCGTCCATTTCGGGATTAGCTTGATACCTATTGGTGCTAGTGGTGTCTTCATCCTCTATATTATCTTGAATAGGTTGAAATTCGAGGTCTTCTTCTTCCAATAGCTTTAGATCTTGGTTTTTATATTCATTAGAATATATAAGATCTTCTTGAATATCGACATCTCTCGAGCTAATCACTCTCTTATTGGCTGGAATATAGACCAAATAATTGTTAGACGAATCAAAGCCTACTAGTATGCCTTTCCGAGCTCTAGAATCCAGTTTTCCATTGCGAATTTCTTTATTATTAATAATATAAGTAAGAGAGCCTAGGATTCTAATGTAGCTTAGATCGGGCTTCTTATTATATATTAATTCGAATGGTGAAGTATTAATAGAACTATTATATGTTCTATTCTTGATATGAGCGATGGCTTTAACTAGGTATGGCCATAAATAGAGTGGAATCTCTTTCTCTTTAATTAAACAGATTAGTCTTTCAACTATATATCTGTTTAGTATCTCGGCTATTCCATTCTGGGAATGAGCGTACGGGCTAATATATTCGCATATAATCCCGTGATTTCGAATAAAATTCGACCATTTATTCGAAAGGAATTCAAGAGCATTGTCTAATCTTAGTATTTTAATACTAATATTAAACTGATTTCTAATTAGATTGTAGAATTCTATTAGAATATCATAGGCCTGGGATTTAAATTTAATGGGATATACCCAAATAGCTCTAGTGGCCCAATCGGTGAATGCTAGAAAGTATTTTTCACCTTTAATCCCTGTAGTTCGAAATGGTCCAGCTATATCTAGGCTGAATTTTCGAATTTAGAGCTTATTTCAGGGATTTCCGAGGGTCCTTGCTTATTTTCTGGTGGAATTTGCCGAATTTGCATGATTCACATGCCTCTAAATCAGATTTAGCTACATCTGATTGGATATTCAAGGATTAATAATATAATCCTTATTTATATGACCTAATCTTTTATGGATTAGGTTGAGATCGACTTTATTTAATAATAAATTCGATTCTTGAGTTGATTCCTCTTCTATTTCAGGGGTATTGATGCTTTTAAGACATTTAGAATCCACCTTAAAATTAAGGTAATATGCATCAATTAGCCAGGGAGCTGTAGTTCGTATATTAGCCTCTTTATGAATAATATCGATCTTATTTCCCGGGGGAACAATGTGACTAGCCCACCCTTTTTGGGCTATTTATTCGAACTGATAAGATTGGAGGCTATATGGGAATATAATACACCCCCTGCAGTAGCACCTCTGATTTATTATTAATTAGAATAGGAATATCTCCTATACCATTAATACGAAGCTTCTCCCCATTAGCTACAGTGATGGAATGATTGTTTAATGGCTTATAATTTATAAACCATTCCCTATTGGGTGAATAATGCTCTGTAGCACCCGAATCTAATATAAATTTATATTTAGATCCAAGAGATTGATTAGCTAAGCCTATATAATGGTCTACAGCCATTAGTTGCTTGCTAGAGATGGGTTTATTCGAATCTTTATTCGAATCTTTATTCGAATTTTTATTCGAATTTCTATTCGGATTCGACTTAAAATGCCTCTTATTATCCCCTTTATTAGTCTTTAATTCAGGGTATTTTATGAAGCATTTCGACTCTAAATGCCCCTTTTTAGAGCAATGCTTGCAATAGGGAGCTTTATTAAAGCTTGTTTTATTAGCATTTAGGTCGATATTAGATCGCATTCTAGCCTCTTCGGATATTAGCTCCGAAAAGAGCTTATCCAGATCAATACTAGCCGTATTTTTAGCTAGTTCTTCGTATTTTCGAGAGGCAAAGCTGTCGAAAGAGCTAGGTAGGCCTCTAAAAAGAAACCATACTATAAAGGCATCCGGAATGTCGAAATTCATCGATTTTAGGTAATTATACGATGATTGGATCGAATTAGTATATTCGTCCATTCCTTCTGAGCTAGTATAATTAGATTCTATTAGCCTATTTAGGTATCTTCCCATTAATTCGATGGAAGACTCTCCAAACATCTTATTAATGGAGTCCCATAGGCTTTTAGCCGAAGTTTTATTCTTGAATCTTTCGACTAATTCGAAGCTAATTATAGATTTAATAGCTCCTAGTGCCTTTCTTTCGTTTCTCTGATATTCTGAAAGCCTTTCATTATATTTTATGGCTAATTCAGGTGAAATAGGCTCTCCTGATTTGTCTATATATAGACTTTTATTGGGTGGAACTTCTGTACCGTCGATATATGGCATAAAGCCATTTATTTCCAGAAAGAGCTTAGCTCGGTTAATCCATTCAATATAATTAGATCTGCCTTTTAGAGGATCAGATTTAAAATTAATACCAGGAGCCATTTTAAGTCCTTTATAGACTAATTGGTCTTATATACTGGTTAAATACTAGTCTAAATATTTAGCTAGTTTCAGGGCTTGAATGGATCAGGTGAATAAATCGATTTAAAATCGATTTTAGTCTCGAGGATCGAATAGACCAGCCACCTCTTAAATTAGATCTTTATCTTATTTGGTATAAAATAAAGACTAAATAAGCTAGGGCACCTTGGTATGAAGAATATTGATATATCACCCGCTATGGGTAGCAATATAGCATAAATATATCGTCTAGGGACCTAATTTTATACGCTCAATTAGGTTTAGCTTCAGGGACGCAGGCCTCAGGGTCTATATGTAGTGTTTTTCGATATGAATTCGATTGAATTGATTCGAAAATTCGATATTCGACAGCTCAATAGCGGTATATATATGATATACAGCCTTAAATCAAGCTAATTCCCTTTTTAAGCTAGTTTAGACTAGCCGGGCTCATAACCTCTTGGAGGTTAGCTTTTATAATAATAAGGAATAGTATTATTATAATGATAGTGGAAGATCTAGTCAGTTTAAGCTTGAGGGATAAATCGAATATATAGAATAAGAGTTGAATTGAAGTCAATTTAGAAGAGCTAGGCTGAGATGAGATGAATTGCTTGCTTTTTCCTAGATTTTCTTTAAAGAATATTCTAGGTTTATATAGTTTATAATGAAATTCTAGTATATTCTATGCTTATAAATAAGATCGATTTAAATCGTATCTTATAGAATCATTTTAGATAATAAAAAGAAAGTACAACCAATCAATTTAGCGATATTTCCTGTATACTTCCATCTAGTTCCATTTCATTCTATTCCATTATAAATCAATTTGATAAGAGATACTATTATACAACTATATGATAATATGATTTTATAATATAAGATCATATTATATGTGTATTAGTCATCAAGATATCTCTTATTTAGTAAGATATTAATAAGTGATTTAGTGGACTTATTATGAATCCTCACACAATTGTTACAACGGTAGGGACCCATCCATGCATGTTGACCTCCGCAAACCCCACAAACTTTGAAAAATGTGGTGACCCGCGCGGACCCATATATATCCAGAGACCCATAATCGGAATTTCATCGGAACTTGGGGGAAAAGGCGGGGAATTCATTAGACACATACTTGGTACGTGGATATTTGCCTGTCAAGTGATGATCGAATCATGAATACTCCACTTCGGAATCTAAATTGACTTTTATTTTTTGTTTCATTTTTTCTCCTTCTGGTCTTGGGAAGAGAAAGACTTTGCCTTCACAAGGTGGCTCAAGTTGTATTTAATATTGGAATAAATGAATGAGTGGATAAATTAATAAATGAATAATAGAAAGGATGGGATCATGTCTGACGGGATACCAGGAAGATCGTTGAGTGAGTCTGTTGAGTGGGAATAACAGACAAGGCAATTCGAAATGATGGGAATCTCTAATCATCATCAACATCATCAACATCATCATCACCATCATCACCACCATCATCACCATCATCACCACCATCACCACCATCATCACCATCATCACCATCATCATAATGTCACCATGTCGGACTGAGACCCAGTCAGATCAACAGGGGCACTTGAAGAAGTTCTAGAATCTGCGGTTGATCATCGGTTCATCCCCATTTTCATCAACCAAAACCTTCCGCAGAGACAAACAAACAACTCACTCGCAAAACTCTTACCAAGCGACTCCCAACACCATCCAAGAATGGCACTTCCGATCGGTAATATCTCACATGTCCACTAAGAGTCTAGGAACGACATTTCCGCCCCGCCTTCCTGTCGTTTTCTTTCTCTTTTTCTTCGCCATCCCATCTCTCGCCAAGCTTTCCAAGCTTTCCCCGAACCTGTCCAGCCACAAAATCATGGATGATGGATCGAGCCGTGTGTCAAACGCCAACAACACTACAAAGTCCCTACGTAGTATACCTACCTATCTAGGTACGGAAGCCTCGTAACCATCTACACCGATACCCGACCCCGCCGTTCACACTTCCCTAGACTCCACGCTACTTCCTATCCTTACCAATTTGTCAATTTATACCACTATATATCTCATCGGACCGATTACTTTGAAATCACTTGCTCCCCTTCTCCCCTTCTCCATCATTTTTCCCCATGGGCCATGGTATGGGCCATGGTAAGCGTCGGAGTTCTCGAAGAAGAAGCCTTTCCGAACAACCAGCAGTAGTACTCTTTACCAATAAACTGGACTCCAGATTTTCTCCCGCTCCCCGTGGGAGTATGGCTAATCTTCGGAATTGGCGCATACGTACAATGGGGCCCGACTCTTATTGCAATGGCATCTGCATACAGATTAATACATGGCAACCCAGTATTCGATCGATACTCGCATTCTCCCATTCCACGGACAAGGCAATCAAGCGACTCGGCTATGTAGCTTGGAAGAAGTTACTCCCGCTTATTCCGATGGGGGCCACGATGGATCTCTAGAGAGGGCTTACTGTCTAGTGGCGGTAACCATTTTGATCATGAGGGCTGTGAATATGAAAACTCTCATTGTTCAACCCGGAATCCTCGGATCTTAGAGCATACTTAGTAATGTACTGTACTTCGGTTATAACTGAGAGTTAGTAGTCGAGCTTTGCAGGTCGTCTTTCACTTCACCATCTTATTCTTCTCCAATCCCTTGACTAGGTCAGGGGTATGCGATTATCGGAGATGCTGTGCCAATCCAAACATTAAACCAGTCTCGGGAGATGTATGATCATGATTTCTAATATTCTGAACTACAATCCAACAATTACATACTTTCAATGTTTGAAGGCGACACAGGCATCCGGGTAGAATTGAATACTCATTTCAAGGGCTCACATTGAACTCTGTGAGAAGTAATACATTATCATAGAGCTAAAAGTCTATCAATGTTTCGCTGACATTATCTATATCACAAATGTATCCATTTCGCTTGCTTTATACTCCTCAAAGTATTCTCATCTCCCTCTATCAATTCTTCTCTACATCACCCTGCGTCCCATCCATGAGCTTTTTATACCCTTCTAAGACTTCTTCTGTTTATAAGATATATCTTCCAGCTTCTCGTATAATACCTTTGTCGCTCCAAGTCCTTCAGTCATAATACGCGGCGTTGATTTTGGCTCCAACTCATGACCAAACAACGAAGCATCAACCCGTGATGGTTGCTCCGGACTTATTCTATTAGTGCGTGACTTGGCTTGGCCCCATCCATTCCTTGCTCTTACCGGTTCCACATCATCATGGTGTAGAATTGATCGAGGAACTCGACATGGAAAATTTGCCGGTTTTGGTATTTTTATCGGCGCGGATCTCGGAGTGTATTCAAAATCTTCCCTTGAAGAGGCCGAGTTCGAGGCTATATCATATTCGCCCGTTTCCGAGGGAATTTGAGCGGTCTCAGAGCCATTTCTTCCTTCTGATATTCTCCCATCTGGTATTGAAGAATAATCTTGGCGCCCCTCATTCATTTGCTCTAGAAGTACCTGATCATACACTGGTTCAATCATTCCCCCATTAAAGTTGGCTTCATTGAGCGATGAGGTAAGTATTGATCTCCCGTCGACCACACCACTCCATCGTCTGTCTACTTTCACTGCCACTCCATCACAAGTCACCTGATAATGCTCCGCGCAATCACTACTGGCTCGATTTGGAGCATTTTGATTTAGAGTATCTTGATCCTCTGCTGATTCATCCTCCACCATGGAATAAATTGACTCCGACCGGCCCTCTGGCATTTCTTTTAATTCCCTTTTTCTTTTCAAATCCTTCTGTACCTTCTTTTTCATCTGCGCTCCAGGTGCATCTTTCTTCTTCACATACGCTCTCATGATTCCCGTGTCTTCCTCATCTCCATCATATCCTTCGGAATCACTAGGATTCGGTGAGTTATCTTCGTGGAACGATAGTGCAGGGGAATATACGATGCTGGGAGGTTGCGAATCATCCGCTTCGCTTGATGAATCCCTCGACATGGCTCTTCTCGATTTCGCTGGTGTTGATGGATTCGTTTTTCGAAAAAAGATGTACGAGTTAGGAGAATGCGTAGAAAGGCCATAGATCGATAATAGATCTGTAATTATGTCTACTATAATAATGGGTGAGCAATAAGTATTGATGGAGTATTTGATGTGGGAAAATAAATAAGGGGAGTATTGATCTTTTTCGTACTTGTACATCAGTATTCCGCTTTGGGAAAGATCGATGAACTTTTTATTAAACATATCGCAGAATATACGTGGGGCAAATACAATTCGATTAATGCTCTTGAATGTATGTATGTAAGTAGTATTCTACATTTTTAGTCTTAATCTCTACACAATAATTATTTTCATCCTCGCTAAGAGTATTGATATATATATATATATATATATATATATTCTTCTCTTCCAAATATTCTTCTCTTCCAAGTCTTCCTCTTCCCCTCTACATCCCTTCCTCCCCTCGCTCTCTTTTTCCATCCCCACTTCTACGCTCTGTACTATAGTAAACCATTTCCTGAACACTTTACCTGAACACTTACTTTACTTGAAGCTATGATCCCCTCATCCATTTCCCCTCATTTATTCATTCACTCCTCTCTGATCACACCCCTTCGAATATCCTTTCTTTATGTTTTATATCTTATATATTTTATTTATTTATTCATTTATTTATCGATCTATCCATCCCTCCATCCCACCATCCCACCAACGCACCTCTCCAAATCTTCCTTCCTAAATCATCATCACTTTTCCAGGCTATATTAACTATTCTTCAAGAGATCAATTGTGTAGAACCTTTTCCTTAATCTTAATTGAATTCCGTATCTGAAATATCATTTTGTGTACTGCAAATGCAAATCCGAATTCTAATTCCGAACCCGAACTTCAAACTCCAAATAGCAAATAGTACATATTCGATTCACACCCCAACTCACCCCACGCACGCGCAGAGTATTATTAGGTGCCTATGCAAATACAATTGTACTCTAGTACCACTTCATTTTCCTTTTTTCATTTTCCTTTTTTCTCCCTTTTTTTTCCTTTTATATTATATCTCTTTTCTTTTCTTATAGATTGGGAAACTGAGAAGTTGGGAAATGTTCTGGGAAATTGGCGATATTTGTTGATTGATTTGCTTGGGAATTGACTGATACTGTGGAGATGGGAGATGGGAGATGGGAGATGGATACTCGGTAGAGGGGTTGGGGGGAAAATTTGGGGGGAGGGGGGGGTTGAAATGATTTGCGGTATGGTGTGTTTATTTTATTTTATTTCATATGGTTGTATTGTATTGTAGTTCCCTGTTTCGCTTCCTTCTTCTTCTTCTTCTTCTTCTTCTTCTTCTTCTTCAATTTGCAAAGAAGGGGCAGAGCTGCACGAGTTAATCTCTCTTCTACAAACGTGGGGTGTGTTTTGGGAGAGAGAGGGAGAGAGAGGGAGAGAGAGGGAGAGAGAGGGAGAGAGAGGGAGAGAGAGGGAGAGAGAGGGAGAGAGAGGGAGAGAGAGGGAGAGAGAGGAGTTGTAGAAATATTCATTTATTTTCATGTTCATACTTATACTCACACTTATACTCACACTCACTCTATCTCCAAGAACACAAAAAAATTATACATTACACTACACAATGTTCATTATTTCTGAATATATCTAAACATAAAGTATATCTACAACATCTTTTCTTCATACATAAACTTAGGGAAGTATGATACGGGGAATAGTGATTGAGTTAGATGGAGATAGATGGACATTTATGATGATATATATATAATTCGATATAGACTAGGAATTTTATTGGGTTTTTATTGGGGAATATTGTTTTTCGGGCGTGTTGGGTGGGAATGCTGTTTTGGGGGGGGAAGGGGAGGGCGTGGAGGTTTGTATGGATTATTAGGTGTGGAATGTATGGAGTGTATGAAGTAGATACGACACGAGAGATGAAATTTACAAGGAATATTTTTCTGTAAAGAAGATGATTAGTGAGTAATTTCCTACTTGTGATTAGCTATAGGAAAGGAGTTGGTTATCCGATGGAGTATAGCATACCAAAAGTTTGATATCTGGAGAGGAATTCAAGAGTTATATTTATCAACTGGGTATAGAAGATAGACGGATTGATATGAAGCGAGAATCCTGCGTATATTTTACGAGAGTGGAGAGGGGGTTTAGATGAATAAGATAGAGTTTTAACTTTTTATTCAAGGTACCGAGGTGTATATGATTTATAATACCTAAGTAATCTCAATCATCACCTAGATGTTGCGAGAGCAAAATGTATATCTACACCCCATCACTTTTGCACATAGGAGATCGTATGATGATCCCGAAAATGCATAGTCTATTCGAGATACTCCTGAATACGGAGTTTAGATGATAGTGATTCGAACACGGGGAATGATATATATGCCTCTTCAACTATTCTTGACTGCCTCTCTTTGATACAACTTTAGTGTTTTTTTATCCTTGATATTTCTTATGTCGAGAAGATATATACATGATCTCCCCCCGAGAAAAAAAAGGGAAATTCTCGTTTTGAATAACTACCTACGTACAATTATCCACCCCGAGTCAGACTCACAACCAGGGGAATATCACTTCCTTGAACTCGCTATTATTACATGGACATCTATCTACCCATCGATCACAGAGTCCAAAAAGACATAAAAATCGTTCATATGCCCATACCCATCTTAGTACTCCCCAATGCTGATACTATAACTTAGTCCTTCACAATACATATTACACCAAGACCGAATCTACAACTTTCCAACAAAAATCCCTAGAAAACTAAACAAGCAATCAAAGCTATTTAGATATCCCAAACTGCAAAGACTCTAACAGCGAATTTGCGTATATGAAACGAGCAGTAGAAGTATCCACGAAAGTGTAAAATCGACAGTGAAAATGAGTTGCTGTAGTGTAAGAACCTCATTAAAATCGACACTTTTGGAGAAGGTGCTGTAATTTTTGGAAAGAACAATGATGGATAGATGATGACGGGTATGTTTGAACAAACATCCGAAAAGTAAATGATGAGTCTACTTTCCATTGGCTATCAATATGAATGATTCATCACTGATGAATCGCAGAGGTAGAGGCCTGGTATATTTCAAAGTTCTGATGTAGTGCATGATATTTACATGTATATTCACACCGGAAAGATGTAATGGGAAGGGAATGGAGTTATTGTAATAATTGCTCATAAAACTCAACACTGGAAATGTGATTCTACTCTGAGTCTGATTAAGGATCGACTTCTTTCCGGGACAATGTTCATTGGGAGTATAGAGATATTGTCGACGCAGCGAGAAGGTCTTCGTGGTAGAATACTACGTAGCCAAAGTATTTCTCCTATGGACTGGGACAAGATCGGAATTGTGAACTTGGGGTTAGCTTCAGATGACTTGTGGGTAATGACTTGGAATGAGGAAGATGGACTGGGACTATGCTTGAACAAATAATGATAATGTCAACAGTAACAGTTGTGGCCAGTCGGCAGTAAACGAAGAGTAATGATGGGATGGTTTTAAAACACCAAGTATCGGCTGAACTGGGAGATCTTCCAAGTGTATACCAGACTTGTCTCATCTACTCGGGTTTGTAGCAGTTGTATGGTTAAAGATACTAAGAACTTAGGAGAGGCGATAGACAGTAAGGAAGCTTGGTCTTTATAATTCTGTCAGGGAACTGCACGCAGGATTTGGATGGGATGGAGATACGAATGAAATGGTATCACTTTGACCATACATAACACCTATCACCAAGACCAATGAACATGGAGCTAACAGAGTGAATCATCAATGTAGCTTCTATTTATCTTTTGTCTGTGACGAGATGAAGAGGTCTCATGTAACTCTAAACCTAGGGCGGTTCTCGAAATGTTTGATGAATCGACTGGCATGATCGGGCTGAAGATGTTAAGACGATGTCATGAGAAGTTGGTGAATGCAATATTAGAAAGTTGAATATACCACTAAAGATTAGACATATAGACCGGAGGCGTATACCAAAATGTTAGCAACGATAACCCGGTAAAACAATCATGCCAACTGAGACTGGCAGTGACTAAACCAGCTACACCCATTGGTGATGTGACACTATATCTACTGTTTATCGCACAAACTCATCTAAGGGCCAGCTTTTGACAAGACCTAGTCCTCCCGATAATTTGGAAAGGGGATGTTGATCTCAAGCGCTGTATTATATACTTCGGGTCTTCATCTACCTCGACTTGAGATGATGGAACACTAGCACAAAGATTCATAAAAACTCATCCTCTTTCTGGGTCCACCAAACGTGCATATCTCCAACCAAGATTTCCCAAAAGCCACTCTTCCATCATGGCATAATTGACATAAAATTCCGACGTGCAACAAAAGCACCTTATCACTCCCACTCGAGTCTAGATACCTTCAAAACTAACGTATATTTCCTTATTCGGTATCTTTTACATATTCTCCATGACCTGTGTGATCCTACCCATCACATGCATGACCCGAAGTGGTAAGAAGCCTCAGTGAGTAATCACATTTATGACCCAACTAACGTGGTTCATATGCGAGAGCGATCAGATTGTTGGAGCTAATGGTGGGATGAAGAAGGAACTGTTCGAATGGTGGCCTGTGCCTTCCTAAAAAGGTATCGTCCGATGCGTGGGAGGAAGGTGCCAGCCATGTTATGAGCTTGCTTGCAATTGATCATATTTCACGTGAAGGGGTAGAGTAGAGTAGAGATGTAATGTGTAATGTGATCAAAGATCGGATAATAACGAAGGCAGGATTGATACATAACGACGCAATGGTTTGGGTAAAAGTGTCTGACTGTTGGACTGCTGATGTGCATCTACACTCCCGTTCATTTTTGATGTGATAGAGGATTGTGCTTGATCCTTTGATACCAAAATTCGATAACTTTATGTTACACAGTGTATACTTTCTGTTGGAAAACGAGAACTGTGGAGCATGTACGATACGATACGCATGGGTATAAAATCGAAGTGTGCTTCCGAGCAATGTCTTGCCGCTGAGATATCACACGCAAACAAATGGATCTCACATCAAAGCAACATCTTTTTCTGGGAAAGAAACTTTTCCGCCAGATATCCACTGTTCCCACCGGCAACTCAAAATAAGCAATCCGTGCAGATGACGTTGCTGTCGAGTCAAGCCAAACTCCACAATGACACTGCATCTGCATATTCATTTGGAGCTTCTCAATAGCCGCTTAAAACTAGCTGATGACCGGCAGATACTTGCATGATTAGAACCTTTATATTCTCACGAGACTCCACAAACCGCTGCTTTTATGATGGAAGTGATAGAGTGGTGTGAGCACCCCGCCAAGGAAGGAGTAAATCGTACATTAAAATACATACATTCCTTTCAACTTCCAAGGATCTGTGTCTGAAAAATTGTTTATTGTTGAGCTTAAACGGAGATCTTGAGTATTCATTTTGGATATGGATTAAGGCGTCGAGTATCGATTGCTGGAATCGATTTGAGATAATACGTAGGGTTTTATCATTTGCTTCGGTTTGTGATGTGAGAAGTTTTGGTGGTTCAATACAGATGAAAATCGGTTTTAACAATCATTGAGGTGTACACTTGTCGGCGCTCGGCTAGTCACATGACTGAGCTAGCCACTTCAATATCAGATTCACTAAAACTACGCCAAACATGTTATATTGTCATACGACAAATCTCTGTGATGAGTGATGAGTGATGAGGACAGAGGATAATTATTACCAAATACTGTCTATTTTCATTACTTGAAGATCATGAAATTGATGGCAGATGCCATCAAGACCCGCGGATCAAACATCTATCAAACTCAATCGCGCCCGATGGAATGAATCTCACACACGTGTGTGTATGAGTATGCTCACTTTGCCCATTTCTCGGTTTGAGACTCATCAAAATTTCTCTGTCGAGTATAGGTTTTTTAAGCAAATTGGGATACAATTCGTTACAAATAAATCACTATAAATGTCTTCATATTGCTACCCTCAGCCCTTAGTCAGATAGCCGGCAAACTCCTCAATTATTTCTAGTCTCCTCGCTCTCATAGTTCAGATCTTCAAATCTCACAAATTAGCTCCAGCGACCTCAATTTGCCTTGCGGCCTTCCTCTAAAGTCAGGGATATCATCTCGCCAAAAACAGTGTTCCAAGTCGATTTTTTGTCCCCCTATATACAAACAACTACTTTCTTTGAAATTTCATATATACCTCAAACATGTTTCCCATCGAAGCATGCAATAAGCTTATCTACATATATCTCGAGCAAAGAGTAACACTACTACCGCTACCACTAGATTCCGCCAATTTCATTGGTATCCCCCCCCCCCCCCCTCTTCTAGACAGACTCAGCCTCCCTTTCAAAGCAACACATCTCATAAAAATGCTTAATCTTGCAATCATGCCACAATGTACCCATCAATGGCCTTGATTCCTCTTAATTCATCCATATATAACCTCTCAAACGCGTTGAAATGGCCTCTTGTATACATCTTTCTAGTCGATTTGTAAGCCATGAGGTGGTCTTTAAGGTCAGGAAGGGAAGGGAGGGGGGTAAGTGGGAGGGGGTTAAGTAAATATGTCTTTGCGTAGCATCTCGAGACAATTGTGCTCTTCCAAGATGTACTCAAAATATTTATAAACACGGTTCTTTTGGAGTGGTCTTTGACCATTGGTTTCGAGAATGAAGCCTAGAATCAAGGGGATTGTTGGTTGGGAGAGAAAGAAGACATATATGCAACATTCAAACGAAGCTGATCTCCTGGCTACTAGAACCATGAAGAAGTCACTGTCTAGACTTTCTCTAACTTTGTAACACTTTGAGATATCAGAGATAATATTTCAGGGGCTTCTTCCCGCAACAGATCATGGGTCTACAACACCTCCAACCAGCATGGCAGAAAGGGTAAAACCAGCTAGCGAGCTGACTTCTGAAGAGAAAGTCAAACTCATGAATTGGTTCCTACAAGCCGACCCAGTTCTCAAATTCGAGACCGAGATTGTGGCCAAATGTATCGAAGACAGTACATTCCACCGGTTTATCCCCGTAACACCAAGCCGGAAAAAGTTTACATCGTCAAGGAAATGGGTTGTGAAATTTTACAAAAGGATATGGGACGAGGGGAAATTCATCAGTGCAACTCCGCAGCAGATTAATTTCAAGCATATTATGGAAACATGTACGATAAGAGGGAGAGGCACGAAGATGAAGCAAATTGAGATTAGGAATTCGAACCGGCCGAACAAGAGAAAAGCTTGGATTCCTAATACGATTGATATTCCCGACTATGTTGATGAGAGCGAGGTTGATGAAGGGGATGGGGACGGTCAAGAAAAAATTGCCGAGGGGGGAACGGGAGAGGGAACACTGGGGAGAAGTGCCGAGGGATCGGGAGGAATTAACAGCGGAAGTGATCAATCCTATGAGGAGGACGGAAGTCTCGCAACAGATGAGAGTGACAAAAAGAACAGCAATAATGGAAGCGGACAAGAAGAGACTAACGAGGAACAAGTTGGCGACGAAGATGCGAACAGAGCAAAAACCGACAATCAAAACCAAGCCAACATCACACAAATTCCCAAATCCAAGAAACGCGGACGTCGATCACCTGGCGAATCGAGCAGATCTAGTAGCGGAGGAACAGCGCAAGTTGAACACTCTGGTATGGGTGAGGTGGCATTGAAGGATCGCATGAAGAGTCCGAAGAAGAAACAGAAAACAAGGGATGTGCAAGACGCCGAGTTGAACAACGAGCAAGAGGTTGAGCTAGACGGCGAGCAAGAGGCTGGAGAAAACTCTGAGCTTTAGACATTGCGAGGAGGTAGACCATAGTAATAGCACATTATCACAGGGTTTTGAGATGTTGGTATATTTCATAATCTAAGTATTGAAATTCAAGGATTGTTCACCTAATTCCCCAAAAGTCAATCAAGACACTGAATAAACACGGAACTGTTATCTTAGGAAAATTACAGGTTGAAATCGTAGCTGCTTTTAAATTATCCTGGAGATTCTACCCAACTCGCTCATGGAAGCTAGAGGCCCGGGGAGAAATATGCATATCCTGATTTCGACTTTCCAATATCGACATCGCTACTTTCTGTGAGGAAGATTTGACATTCATATCACAGTGTGCATTTTGTGATATCTTTGCGTTCCTCACATGCGCAACATCGGATTCTTACACCATTCAGTGCTGGTGAATACGTGGAGTTCAAATATGGAAGATGTCACATTAAGAAGTAGGATTCGAAAGATGCTTGCGATGGTTCTAGTATGCGTGTGATGTGAGCAATTTATGCGCTTGTGATATAAAACAACTTTTCAGAAGAGGATACGAAGGTCAATTGATGCTATAGATTCATACATGATTGTTGATTTGATGCTACTACCCAGCATAGGATCGCAATACAAGAGAGCAATACCCCATGGGTTCCTACACCAATGTGTGTACCAGTACCGTATATTTCAATACTAACATACCTCGAAACGAAACGCGAAACAGACATGAAGATGTACAGCTAAATCCTTCCGCAGTATCTCTATCACCGTAGTATATTGCGGCGCAGAAAGGTCAATTATTCATGACAACACGATGAACCATCGAATCCACGAAGAACTTTCTTCCACCCCAAAAATAATGACCGCCTTTCAGAATCCCATCTGAACCCCAAACTGCAATCCCGTTGAACATCAAACGTGGGAAAATCCATCATTTTGCACAGAGGTATGTTTGACCCGTTCTCACTGCCACCTCCACGCCAACTTCAATCCCTCAACTGCCCTTCAACACCTCCTTCCACATGGTATGTAATCAACAAAGGATTGCACGGTGCACATTGACTCATCCTTCCATCTACAATGTACACGAGCCGCTCCTCCACATTCATCCCTTCCTTTATTGCGAAAAAAAAATGGATGGAATAAGCTTGACAAGAAATCAGATCTCAGATCCTACGTTTCGCGATATGCAACAAAAGAATTTTTGCTTCATTATTCAACCACTTATCTCATCTCATCAGTTGTTAAGTAAGCATTTCCAGATGCTACGAGATGGGGCGCAAAGTGAGATCCTAGCACGAATCAAACTTCAAGCGAAATCCTTCTCGTGTCGAGTGGATGTTTCGGGTAAGACGAGACATTCACATACGAACGTACAAAGGGAGAGAATACCGATATACTGTAGCTTTGCGGCGAGGTACGAAGGGGAAAATAACTGCCGATATTTCGTACAGTGAAGCTGCGAAATCATTTATGCAGTCTCTTTGAAGCCACAATTCAATCCGTGCAGGATGTGATTTAAGATGTTGATGTACAGAATGTCTGAGAGCTTTGCAAGTACACTGCTTTGACTTACCCATCTCATAGGGCAATTTTATAAAGACAACACTGCAGATACTAGTAAAATGTGGTAGCGAAGCCAACTTTTTGCAAATTGCGAAAAGCCAGTGAGCCACACTAGGTAGCTAACCTTCCTTTGTTTCGATCTTAAGGCGTGCGCAGATATACTCCCACTGACACTGACAATGGCACTACACACTGACATAAACAATCATGGTAGATGCATAGTTTACCAAAAGGAGATGCGGAACGACTTGCTAATAGTTACTTGCTATAGAATAATCTGATACAGTCTAGAAGAAAATGGTCAAAGGGAACTTCCTTTAAGATCCACCCGTGGACACCGGCGTTTCAAGCTCTGAAGTATGCTCTCTGAGGACCCTGCATAGTAAGCAAGACATTGTCGGATTGAAGTAGCTTCATTGAGTAGAGAAGGTAAAGCAAGAAAGAAAAGTGTAATTCCGCACAGATGGTCTGTCAGATCAGCATTACCTCAAGGCTCATGCTAGTCAAAAGAATGGAGCTATTTTGAGTATCTCAGTAGTCTCCGATGTCAGTGTTTCATCAGCATTTGGGCAGAGATGCCATCCGGCATGTGTTGTGGTCTATGGCAATTCTATATTTCCATCGAATCTGAAGATACAGATCCAGAAGTAACTCATTGGAGTACAACAGTTATAATTTAGACGCCGACATCGAGTTACCAGTCCAGCGAATACAGCTGAAGAAGATTTGCGGATAATTATAGAAGGAAGGTCGCTTTGGTGGTCTGCAGAAGCGCTACTGTAGTCACGAGGGCAGCACAACATTGGTATCTGATAGCCGGGGTAAAATGACAGCGAAGACCGACCGGTAGTAAGAGTGGCTTCAATACCGATCTTGGTGCTAAATTTGAATGGCGTTAACGCTTTTACACATCGATCCGTGAAAGATTCAATTAGTTGGGTATCTTGGGATTGGTGCTCGGTGAATCTAGATCTAAACAAATGAAGGGATGTAGATGCACTCCGTGTACATAGAAGCGGCAACGCGACGGGATGGGCGATCAATTTCCATAGAATGGAAAGAAAAGATGAGACAGCCGTGCCATTCTCTCCAATGAGAATTCTGAAGAGCTCAAGCTTCGATGTTTCATGCATACCTGCATTAATTTAACCCTGTTTAGACCAATATTCATTCACATTGCATTTTGGGGGAGAAAGAGCTAGCCAATTAGTGATGTATCAGATTCTTAAAGAGATGATGGAGAAAGATTGTGAGCCAATCGTTTAAAGATCACATATTTGGGAAAATGCAGTCAGCCATCTTCTTAATTTATGACTGCGGGCAGGTCCCATTCAGCAAGCGCTCGGCATTGACTTTTCTGCAGCAGTTGAATGCACCATACGATGTAAGATTGCATATGAGATAGACTCCATACTGAAATATCGAATAGCTGGAGCGACCTGATAGTCAAATGCTGAAATGTCAAAGCCTGAGAGATTAGTTGATTATCGTCGCACTTCGATTGAATCCTTCTTGATATTACCGAACTAGTCCAGTACGTGTGAGTGTGTACGTCCTTTTACGAAAGAAACAACTATCAGTACATCCATCATCTTGAACATCATCTTGGAAGCTTGGAACTTGGACTGAGGTAAGATCTTACGAAGGTGGGATTGTATGCATCTACCGAGTAGTCTATTTTCGGGATCACTGCATCGCATCGTATAGTGGAGTCCTGTGAGATGTTGTAGCACGGGAAATATGAAATATTGTGGGATTGGTTTGATACCATGGTGGTACATATATATCGTATGTATGTAAACGCCGAGTTTAATTGTTGAAGATACTCGAGTGGCTGGAAGAAGTCTAAGGGTAAGAATACTTCGCGCGTACCTGCCTTCTATGGTCCAATGCCTACCTACTTGCCTACCTAGTACTTTAAAATTCTTTCTTGGAATTTTAGGACATCGGGGATTTTGTTGCGAATCGTGGAAAAGCATTGGTAAGAGATGCTTGACACGATTTAGTGATGACCTTTGTAAAGTAAGTATAAAAACAATACAAACGGAGTGAAGATCATGGCTATCTATGCGGCCCGTATTTGGAGTCTACGGAGTATTGTTATCACGCCGCGAAATAAACTTTTGTATCCAGGAAGAAATCCTCAAGAAAAAAATGGGCGATACCCGTGATTGTCCAATGATCAATCATCATGTTGGTTTGATCGCTTATTCACCGGGTTCCCCTTCATCCATGATTCAAATTGAAGAAGCCATCACGAAAAAAAGGGTTTCCCTTGAACGAAGAGGTTGGATCTGTGGTTCCGTGATTGTCATAACAGGCAATACCTTGCTATAATTCAGATATATTTTGTGTAATCGAGTTTCAAGTTGATGATCAAACAGGCACCTCCAATTAGGCTTGATCTTGTAAGTTGTCTGGTTCGAAAGAATCCACATTCCTTGAAAGTAGACGTAGAAATTGAATCAAGAAATTCTCCCGAGAACCTGTGAAAACCTTCCATTTTCGATGGCGAGGTGCTTCCATTCCATACGGTTGTAATGGAATTTTGATCAGGTGAGTTTCAGATTTGCGATGTTTACCTCATTACATTTTGACCCTTGAGGTACGGCGCCATACTGTAGGTAGTAGATATGACAAGGTACATCCTGTGTGTCATTTTGTAGGTGCTTCAATGATGGCTTGCATTTGATATGTGCGGATTCATTGGAAGCATTAGAGGGGGTCTAGTTCAAAGCGCGCGCTGCTATAAGGTTATGCATTGATGGCGGGGAGTTATGACATGGGAAGATCTAGCTAATGATGAACGAGAAAACCAACATCAGTCAGTGAAGGCTACGATTGGATATTTTCAATATAATCGGAAATATGGGAGGCCACGCCACTGGAGATGGATGAGAAATATCGGTCGCTCAAGTCGGCCCACCGACTCCCAATTCGACCCAAGTGCTGTTGAAAATAGGAACATCAAAAACGATGCGAAAGCCGGCAATCTCAATTCAATGTATTCGTATGGTGTCGCATGAATTCATAGAGCTTTGTGATGAACATGTCAACCGTACCATCACCGTCCGATAGATCTGAAGCAGGGCTACGAAAGGATATTTCCAAGTTCGAAGACTACAAGAATAGAAAGATTGGCAGTCATTCACAAACCTCTCAACGGCTGCAAGGAGTCATTACGAAAAACAGTACCTGCAATTTTGAGGCCAACCGAGGTCTCCTCAGCGTCGTTTCACAATATCATATTTACCCCCCTATGGATACGACGGGCGCGGGATGACATACCAAGCATTTTCGTGACTCGCGGGTTGAATAATCCGTCGTTTTTGAAGCGGAGGTCGCATCGTTGGTCTCAACCACATGGATGGTATTCGTCAATTGTAGTCTGTCAAAAGCTTCGATCCTAGAAATTCACGGGTCTGCACACTGAGTAAGTTTGCCGTCATAGCAACGATCATCCAACGAGTTTGACGCTCAGATCGCGTGCTATCCACGCAGAGGCATTTACTTTTCGTTCTCGAAGCTGTCTATCTCCACGCTCGTCCATTCGGATTGCGGATGAGATGATTAGAAGTACGATGCTCCGGTACTTCTTCTGACCCTTATGATGAGAGGAAAGCCTTAGATCGGATCTAGTCAGATTGCAAGATAGTTAAGAATCTAATCACTCCCTCCTCAATTTTCTTCCAGCCAAGAGATTTGCCTCTCTGTCAACTTAACGCATGAATCTTCTTCTTAGGTCTTCCAATGTACCAATGTACTGCACTGACTAGATCATCTGTGCTTAGATATTAAAATGTCATAACGAATGTTTTTCGCCGCATCTATTGAACAGCACTTCCGTCAACAACGCCCCTCAGGATCTACTTCCTCCCCACGCAGAAAGGTGATTTATGCCAAACATGGTCTTCCCAGTTCTTATTCAAGATCAAATATAGAAACACGCTGTCTTCAGCTTCCTCAATTGCAAGTTCCGAGTCCCCAAGCGGTCGCACTAGCTCATTTTGTGATGTCTCTCTGGAAATTCAATTCTAAATCTCGTTCCCAGTTCGAATATTATTCCGCTCTCCCATGCCGATACGACCTCGGTGCTCCATTAACTAATGGGCCAACGACTATTAGATCATCATATCAATGAAAGAGCATTCCTTTCTGTGAGGTTCGACCGAGAAAGTAATTTGCATAGGGAGGAACCACAATTTTTACTCCCGATGCAAGAAGCATGGTCCAAATATGCAGATGGCAAGGTTACGCGGAGATTACATATCTAATGAGGTATATGAAGCCGATGCAAGTGGTGGCATAAGATTCAAGAAACAGCATAAATTATGTGAGCCTAGCAAGGGATGAAGGAGAAGCAAGAAAGGAAGAAGCATTTTCTTATCGAAAAGGCAGGTCGCAAGTGATGTGGAGAAACTCCAGAGATATATGTTTCGTATTCCATGAACTTAATGCTTTGAACTATTGTACCCAGTTTTTCAAATAATAATCGATTTTGCTTAACCTTGATCTAAAGTTCTAGAGTGAGCTTTGATCTGGATTGCTTGTAGGCCCACCCCAAAATCCTGGTGAATATGGTTGTGGGAGACAACCTTGAAACACAAATTTCCTGCCTTCCTCAGATGATGCACGAGAAACAAAGCCACCACCTTGAAAACGGCACAGTTACATAGAGATTCCTAGGAGTTGTACACCTCCATCGTCACCAATTCATTATTGGGGTTACGCTTACAGCACATTCGGTTATGCTTCGCCTCCTTGACATTCCCACCTCAATACTACATCTTGGATAAATCGGCAATGACATGAAAGAAAATGGACCGGTAGGTTGTATACATACTCAGTCCATGGATACGTGAGATCACATATCAGGAGAGAAAGCCACTCAATGGAGGAAAAAGGGAGCAGAAAACTAGAAACAAGCGCCAGGAGCAGATTGTGCCGCGTGCAGTCTCTACCCTTGATCGGAATACCTTCTCAAACACGAGGCCTGAGGTGATAGCATACCTAGGTACCATTGATTCTTGACAGGGCTCCAATCAAGCCACCGAGGAGACTTTTCACATTTGCCTTATTTTATGAAAATTAGACAGATGAGTGAGAGGGAGAGGGAGAGAGGGAGGCTTTTGGGAATGATAATAAGGGATAATAAGCCCAGATTTCATTGATAGAACCTCATGGATTTTGGAAAGGAAAATCAATCATTCCGTTATTATTTCTCTTTCTCAGGCTTCACAGATACAAGTATACAATGGGCGGGTAGAGAGTTGCACGAAAGGATGTAAATTTAGATGGAAGAATTAATTGGTTGAATCAGCAGCACAAGTCATGCTTTATTATCTGTCAGCTACTCTATACACTCTCGCGGGTGACACGAAAGTGGCACACACAATATATTCCCCATCAAAATTTTGGTGGGATTTTAGACTATATGTTTAGCCCCTAGCTAGCTTCATGATATATCAATATAAAATCTTAAAATAAATATTACAAAATATTTCGAATATAAGCTTTCTATAATATAATTTTTATTATCTTGAGATTATTATAGCAAAAGTTATAATCTATTAAATATTAGACTTATTTTGAATTTAAATATAATTTGTATTTAGAATTTAAAATATTTAGAAACTTCAACTAATTACAATTAATTTAATTCTTAATTTAAAATACTTAAAAAAACTTTATTTGAAAAATTAAAAAGTAATTTATAATATATATAAGATTTATCTATTATAACTTTGTATTATGTAATTAGTGTATATTAGAAAATTGATAATTTGAAAGAATTTTGATAAGAAATCCTTATCAAAATCTAATATTATTAATAAATTCAACAACTTCATAATTATATTAATAAATTATTTCAAATGATATTAAGATGTTAACATTTTCAAAATAATATTCGATATTTAAATATATTTCAAGCTTTAATATTATTATCTAAAAATTTGTTTTAATTTTTAAAATAGATATATAATCTTATAATTTTTAAAAAATAAGTCACTTTTAATCTATAATATCTTTTAATCGAGATTTTTTTATATAATATAATTAGTTAATATATTATTATTTATTGATATTTTATAGTTAATTTGTTTTATTATTAATTTTTGAAAAGAGTGAGTTGAATGGAGTTTATATTCTAATTATATTGTGTGTGCTACTTTTCGTGTCACCCGCGAGACACTGTACGAGACTGTATATCAAATTATCAATAGCCAGTAGCAGTCTCTAGACGGACCTAGTCTCATTGAACACCTAGGGATTTCTATTAATATTTGCTCTCTCAACGCCGTTTTAATATTATTGCTCGATATCAGAATTCAGAATGAATGATGTCCTAGCGGTCACTTTCTTGAGTCATTCATGCAAATGCATTTTGTATCGTCCTGCGTGCGTACCTAGGTCTCAAAGTAGGTACTTGTTGATGCTTTGTCATTTTGGATATGATCTATCGATTCGGAAATCATGCCTCCGCAGTGTGTACCGGGTTTTCCAGGACAATATCAACGTAATTCAACAGTTGAACCTCTCTTTCAATGAATCTCAATAATATGACTGATTTAATTCTAAATCGAAGACATCTCTTGAGGACCACTTTCTCCTTCGGTTACAGTATCAGTATCTCATGTCTCACTCATACTCCGTAGTAAAAAAAAAAAAACTTAAAATCATTTCAACAGGGCAGCTCTTTCTGTGCTCTAGAAGGAGAATGATTTCCATTTGTCATCCACTTTCCCATACAAATCCATCCACCTGCCATTTCTCGATAGTAAGAGATCAAAAGTTCACGGAATCCTATTACCGACCCCCCTCCCAAGTAGAGGAAGCCAGAAGAAGGAATATCGGGAAATTATACAGTACATACGAGGTATATACCTCCACCCAGGCCAGGACCTACTAGGTATGATTGTTGTACGCACAGTGCACACCGACGAGCATACACACGAACACACACCGATGAAAGGACTGAAAGCCATCTACAACGCACACACATTCACGTTCTCCTCCATCTCCGAGATTCTTTATTAGCGTCATCCTCAGGATTCTGTGCTACTACCTACTACCTACAGCATTCCATCCTTCGTTCTTCAATACCTCCCTAGGTAATCACTCTTGCGCTCACTCACCTGCATATCGCATATCGCATGCCGCACACATAACCCATACGACCTTGATAACCTTCAACTACTTCTTCCCCCTGGACGCTTGCTTCAGATCACGATAACAGCCAATCTGATGCCTCGAACCTTCCACAAGCTAACCACCTAGTAAGCACTCTCAGACCTATTAGCAATAATCCCTGTGCAATAACTGCTTATTCAACGACTTTTACGAACATTACGACTTCTCAGCAGTAACGGGCGAGCACACGAAGAAGCAAAAAGGTTGTCTAGCATTCCTTCTCTCCCCCTCGAGTTTGAAGCTGGATCATCGAACCCAACGGCACTTTGTACAGATCCTCTCGTCATTATTCGACGCATGAGGCACGAACTACACGATAGCACCGCACCGTACCTAGGGATTTCCACTCATTCAACCCGGGGTCATACTTTTTACCCACTAGAACAAGCAGCTACTCAAGTTCCGGAGGTTGTAACCTTTAAAAGAGCAAGTGAAAAAGACTGGAGAAGACGTCTTTTTTGAGCACAAACCCAAGCACAACCCATCCCAATCACCCACCCCTTGACCATTTCTTACCACACTCCCCCGTAAGCAACTTAGCACCAGAGCAAAGCGAGGATAAAGCAAAAAGCCAAAGCAGCGAGCGCGATTATAATCCTTGAAAACATTACCAAAAGCAAGTTAGAGCGAAAGGGGGAGGGGAGAAAGAGTCAAGACACGACACAGAGAGAGCGGACCATCCACTCATTCCACCAGCGTTCTTCCTTGGCTACTACTCATACCCACCCACCCGTTCTTTTAACCCATTCCCGTTGTTATTGGTATTCTTATATTATTCATTATTATTATTATTATTATTATTATTATTATTATTATTATTATTATTATTATTGTTATTATTCTCATTATTATTATTACTTCATTCTTCGTCTTCTTCTTCTCCCTCTTGACCCTTACCCAGTCAGTTCTCCGTCAAGTGCAGCAGTGTGCACACCACACCACTTTCACCAAACATCCACCATCCAAGTCAAAAAAGATCCAAGGCCCCTACCACTTTTCGACCGCGCAGACCAGGTCCAAAAAAGGCTCAGATTTGAGATTCTCAAACGACTATTAACTCAAACATTCCATCTTAAACCCCCCCGTGCCTTCCTCATCTCAAACTCGAAAAAAATAATCTACGTCTCTCATTCTCGGTCGCAGGTCGCCCGTACATCCAACAAGAAAAGCAATTCTACCCCTCAGCCGCAGTCAATATCTTCTATTGATCGTAGCACGCACCCGAGGGTCTCTCTTCATTTACCGACCGAACGAAACGAAAAGAGTCGCGGCGAAAGAGATTAGATTTGTTTTTGAAGAGTGTTGTTGTCGCGGCACGTTTCCCTACACCTTTTCGCTCGCCGAAGCTTCTATCATTCACTTCCTTCAGTCGTCCGGTCGACCTTTAAACACATACACCCTTCTCTTAATTTACCAAACCGCGATTAGACGGTTTCGTTTCCTCTTCTTCTCTTCTTCTTCTCTTCTTCTCTTCCTCTTTCTCTTTTTAAATACATTTGAAAAAGAATTCGAGTCAAGTTCTTGCTGGCCTCGAACCCCTCGAACGTCAACTGCTTCATCTGGCTTCATCTGTACCGGAGCAGGCCCTCCATTCGGACACCAACCCTATCATTTCATAGAACGTCCTTACGATCCCGATACCAATTCAGTTCTCTGACACTCACTTCGCTCTCCAAATTTTCGAGGATACTATTGCTTCATTAACGTCGCTGATTTCCCAGTACTTCAAACATTAATCAACACGTCCCATCTTCGGTTTATCGTGTTTCTCAGCCTTACGGCCTCGCCGGTGTTTCGATTCCCCACTCGGTTCAGTTGACATCTTCCCACACAAACTGTTCTTGAGTCGTTGTTTCGACTCAATTGAATGGCGCATATGATGTATTCGCAACATCATGCGACGATGGCTCCTCCACAGAAACCAGAGACCTTCATGCTGAGCAGTGAAGCCCAACAAAGTCTCCCTCAAGATGCTCAAGTAGCACTCCAACAAGTCGACAACTGTACGTATCAAGCATTACTGTTTCAGGTGAATCACACTAACTTGACACCCAGTAAAATACTTTTTAATATCTGCTCCTGTTGATTGGTCGGCGGATCAATACATCAGACGATTTCTCCTCCCAACTGGTGAATACGTTTCCTGCGTGTTGTGGTATAGTGAAGCTGTTTCTTTATTAGGAATTTATTGGGACTGATGATGTTATAGGAACAACCTCTTTCATATTTCCGGTACCGACATTGTACGGTGTCTGTCTTTTCGATTCCAAGCTTTCGGTCGACCAGTCAAGAATTCAAAGAAATTCGAAGAGGGTATCTTCTCCGATCTGCGAAATTTGAAATCTGGAACCGATGCCTCCCTTGAAGAGCCAAAGAGCGGTTTCCTAGACTTCCTATACAAGAATAATTGCATAAGAACACAAAAGAAGCAAAAGGTTTTCTATTGGTATAGTGTGCCACACGACAGGTTGTTTTTGGATGCTTTGGAGCGAGATTTGAAGAGGGAGAAGATGGGGCAAGAGGCTACAACTGTAGCAGTCAATGAACCAGCTTTGTCTTTCGAATTCGACTCGTCGCAGTCCTTGTTTGAGCAACTCACAAAGGCTCAGCAAGCCAACTCTTCATCATTCTCTGCCCAACAACCTTCATACAATCAATCACAATCAACATCCCCAGTGATGCGAGCGATGGATTCAATGCCTCCTCCACAGATGGTTCCTCAAGCTATGGCGATGCCAGAGGAGATGAACCAAATGGCAGCTTATCAACAAATGACAATGCAGCAACCACAAATGCAACCACAGCAACATCATCATCATCAACAACAAATGCACCAAGTCAAGAGAGAGCCTGATTTCAACCGCGTTCAATACAACCAAAACGGTGTCCCAATCGGGCAAACACATCAGCGACATGCCTCTATGCCTGCATACGGATTAGAGTACTCTCCCGCGCCCTCGTTCGTTTCATCACATTATGAAGATTACAGTGCTCGTGGTATTTCATTTGAGCCAATTACTCCACCTCAACAAGCCCTTGGAATGGGAGCTGAACCGGCTTATATTGCAAATGAAGAAACTGGTCTCTACACAGCAATTCCGGATCACATGGGTGGTGTCAATGGCCTGCATACTATGATGCAGCTACCCCCATCAAACTTGTCTGGTCCACAATTTTCGCATGCAACCAGAGGTTACGGAGCAAACAATGTCTACTCAGTGATTGAGGGTTCGCCAACGTACAAGCAAAGAAGGCGCCGCTCGTCAATTCCTCCAGGAGTTGCATCAATCGTTGCTGCTGCCGCCGCAGCTGGTCAACATTCTCACCAAGCCCACAGGCCATCAGATCTACGAAGATCGGTCTCGCATTCTGTTGGACCAGTAGCTGAAGGTGACGAGTCAGGCGAAAACTCTCCACCTGGACTTACATACAGCAACCAAATTCCTCATCAGATGGCGCACCACAAAGAATTAGTTGATTTCTCCAGACATGGAACTCCCCTGTCTACTGTCGAGGATTCTCCGCACATGAACCCAATGTCCTTGCAACAATCAGACTTCCAGTTAAACAATGATGATCTTGCAGGCGATAGCCCACTTGATCATTCCCCTCAACGAAGACACATGCAAGGACCAGGTGGAGTAGTGCGAAGAGCACGAAGCGCCACGATGATGGAACTTGGTCCCTATCCCCAAAAATCACACTCATGCCCAATCCCCACTTGCGGTCGTCTGTTCAAGCGTTTAGAGCATCTCAAACGGTATGTTTCATGTTTTCATTTCTTCTTCATTTCTTTTGTCCGGCTGTAGATCAAGCCGCTGACTTACCCCCCTCCAGACATGTGAGAACCCATACACAAGAAAGACCCTACATCTGCCCACACTGCAGCAAAGCATTCTCCCGCTCAGACAACCTAGCACAGTATGTTACACATTATTTGAATTTCAATCCCAACCACACCACCATACACACAGCATAACCGTCCTCGCCTAAATCCAGTTATTAATATTTCGAACATGAGCTAACAAGTATCCAATAGACATCGTCGTACACACGATCGTGGTGATGGATCTGAAGGTGCCTATGGCAGCTATAGTGGTGAAGAAGAAGACTTTGAGGGTGAAGATCATCTTGGACCCCTCGAAGACGCCTCTCCCAATTCCGAGAATGGTTACCTCCCACAAAGCATGACGTCGAACTTCAACGGCATGCCTATGTCAATGGGAATGATGAATCCTGGTATGGCTGCCCCCAGTCAGCTCATCAATACACATCAGCTCATGCAGCAACCAATATAGAGTTCGCTCCAAACTCCCCGTCGTTTGAATAATGCAGGATTCTCGGCATCATTTTTGTTCACCACTTAGTCGACTTTGACACCTTCTACTTCCCCTCTTTGTATATGATCTTTTTAGTAGTCTTTTCTCTATTTTGTTTTCATTGCATAGCTTTGCGAGTCCTGCCGTATGCTACACATTTTCATTGGCCCTCCAAAGCTTTCATATTTACCTCTATTTCCTTTTAGTTTTTATTTGATACGGCTTTTCTATAGGCGCTACGGCCTGTCGTGTTGGTTGCAGCTGCTTGGGATTACTTTGATGATCATGATGGATTTCTTTATGAAGCTCTCAAAACCCTCATCACTTTTTGTGGGTTGTTCGGATAATTGGGAAAAATGGGGTGTCTACAAAGGAAGGAAGGAACAGAAATTTCCGGGAATGGGTAGAGTGGGCAGGCAATGGCAGGTGGATATCTTGTGTATTTTGTCTTGCCTTGTCTTGTCACTGGCTAATGGACTATTGTGCTCTCTATCACGAGGTAGATGGAGCGCGTAGTCCAGGGCTAGTTTTGTACGCAATGCGATTTCTTTTTGTGGGGTCACGCTGGGTTGTTAGCTGGAGTGGCAGTTTGCGCGTTACAAACTGAGAGAAGGGAGAACATCACAAGGGCGAAGATGAAGAAGGAGGTAGAGATGAACCTCCTTGTGTATAATCAAGAATGTTTTTGTATGTTCGGTCATTTTGGTCTTGGGGAGGGGATTTATGGTGTTGATCGATTGATATGAGATCGATGAGTGGAGTTGATATGAAGTGAATATGAGATGCGATGAAGAGAATTATAGACTATGTTATACCCAACTTTTACTTCGCTCGTGTGTCTTGATGTTTTTATGATGTGAAATGAGAATTTTCTTTGAGTGAAGAAGGATTTAAAAATAACCTGACACTGAATAATGATCCAGAAGATATCACTAGGTAATTTCCACCCACTTTCGATCTGGCCCGTATCATCTCTGTGATTCTTCAAAATGCCAGATTTCATTATATGGTTACTACTATCTACTTTGACTGAGCATTTCTTCATCAGTGGAGTAGAAAGAATATACAGAATGAAACTCTCACAGTATGGTAAACGTTGAAAACCGAGCTGTGCCAGCATCATCGGGGTTGGTGCCGCGATCTAGCAAGTGATTTACGATATTTTCTGGGCCTTAAAACTTGCCAATGGCGCCGCCAGGCTCATCGCAGACCTCAACTTCCAAGCTCCACTCCAGAATTGATAGTGCTGAGATAGCTTTCGTTGAGAAGCCGGACGGCAAGTTCATCTATAGAGCGTGTGTATGTGACGATTGATATGTTGGGTGTGTGATATGGATGGATGTTCTGTGCTCAATAGGATAATTGTATGATCTTACTTTGTTTCCATTGTTTGTGTTGAGTGAGTGAGTGAGTGAGTGGGATTTTTGAGGATTGTATCTCGAGTGGACAACTGCGAAGTTTGAGTTCTCTGGATCAGAGTTTGATACGCAATCCTGCTTTGGCTTGACTTGTATTGCATTGGTCAATGGATACGACCAGGAGCCGAATCTCTTTTAAAAGCGTCATTGTGCAGGGTTCGAGTTGCATTATATTTCAGAACCTCTCTGAGACATTTTAACATATTCATCGAGTGTATTTTGACAGGGCTGAGGAGTAGAATACTCCAATTGTTTGCGTTATATTTTCTGTTCTATTGTGGCCTGATGAAAAACGCGTAAGTATCCCTTGAGTCGTGTTTCGAAAACCATTCGAACGGGTAATGCAAACCCGATCTCTAACATTAGTCCCAGACTTACCCCGTCTCTCCCATACATCTCATGGGAGCCCTCTCATTCTACGCAACACTTTTCATCGTCTCATGGATAGATGCTTTAATTAGTTTCAACACACCCTCCACTTTTAACACAGCATATATTGGGGAGACTCGTCAATATGATCAAGGGACTTTCGATCTCGAGGCCTGGGAGTGCTAGCTAGTCGCGTCTCGAGTGATTTTCCGAGAGTCGTATGTAAAACTGCTAATGTAGGGCGCATCTTTGATACACATTGTTGTGTCGCTGCTTTCGTTACTGCTTGTATTGGATTCTGGGCGTTGAGGAATCAGAGGGACATGGCTGTGAGAGGGAAGATGGAGAGTAGAGAGCGGCAGGCGTATGAATTGGAACGGATGGTGAGGCCGATCCGGTCAATTGAGCGATTGGTCTTGCTTGTCGAAAGTGTGAGATAAAAATTTCAGTAATTTGAAGTGAAGTAGATGTCGAGACTGAAGAGAGGAGGCGCGTGGCTGAGAATAGTATAGGTCGAATGGTAAACAAGGGGGAAATGAAATTTGAAACTCATAGAAACTTGGAGAGTATTGACATTCTTTCACAACCAATACTGACAAAATCCTGAAATGTCAATATAGATCTGGATATAATATACACACCCAACTAAATCTGCACAAAATTGGACACAGGTAGTAACGAGAGAACACTCGTCCTCCTCGTCAAGGTCCGCGAGCCAAAGACCAGATTGCATGTCATTGAAATACATTTTGGAACCACAATTTCCAAATCAGAACCGTACAAATAGCCTGGTCTTCCTGTCCTTTCTCATTTGTAAATAGGAAACAGTACTGTACAACAAGAGATTCTCAATGTTAGACCACGTCATACGAACCCCGCACTTTCACCCCCAGTTGAACTTTCAACCTATCACTCTCGTAAATCCCAAGGTAATTTCACCTCAATACCTGCATTTAGAGCGCTCATTCAATTGGTACAAATGCAAAGCTTGATGTTATGCCTACATAAAGCCCACTAATTCACTCTAAGCACCAAAGCACTTCTCATACCCAACCATTGTAAACCTATACCTGACATCATTGTTATGCAACCTCGTCAACGCTGTCTTCAATCCCTCCTCATTAATCTCAATCGTCTCTACCCAACTCTTAATTCCCTTCTCAACTGCCAAATCTAACATGGCGAGAACTTCTTTCCTGCTGCCCAAATGACTTCCTCCGAGGAGTACACCGTTCTTCAACAGTTGGAAGTTATCAATGGTTTGTCCTTCGCCTTCAGGTAATCCGACAGATACCCAGTGTCCGTGAACGTCGAGAAGCTCGAGATATTCGGCCAAATTGAAGCCGGAAGATGAGGAGGCAGTGTTGACGATCAAGTCAAAGGTCATGATGTGCTCTTTGTTCCAATCCTTGTCGGCAGTGGCGAGGAAGCCATCGGCGCCGAGTTTCTTGGCATCGGCTTCTTTGGCATGGGTTCTGTTTGTAAGTGTAGATTAGTATCTTTCTCATCTGAGGAACTTCATGAGGAACTGGGTGGGCGATATCAACATACCTCGAAATAACCCAGGTCTCGGCTCCCAAAGCCTTAGCAAACATAACTCCAAAATGTCCAATCCCACCCAACCCCACAATACCCACCTTCTTTCCTGGTCCACAGCCATTTCTGACCAACGGACTATACGCTGTCAAGCCAGCACACAACATAGGAGCTGCCTGTTCACTCTTTAAACCGTCTGGGATGGGGAAGACCCAATGTTCATGAGTTCTAACGTGACTAGCATAACCACCTTGGGAAACGATTCCAGTTTCTGGCCAGACGGCTCCATAGGTGTCGAGCTGATGGCGGCAGTATGTTTCATTATCATTCTTGCATTGACGGCATTGGAGACAAGAGTATGATTGGGCGCCGACACCGACACGTTGACCGGGTTTGATGAGAGTTACTTTTGGGCCGACACGGAGGGCTTCACCTACGATTTCTAAGGACAGATTGGGAATGTTAGTATATTTTTATTCTTTCACAACTGTCCAATTGAGCTCTCGCTCATCCGATTTTCCCCAAAGCCCAAAATTGGAAACGTAAAACGGTGAAAAGAGAAACGGGGAAACCATACCATGCCCCACACAGAGCGGAAACTTTTGTTCACCCCACCCTCCACTAACAGTGTGCAAATCACTGGCGCAAACACCACAGGCCTGGATTTTGATATCGACATCGTAGTCACCGAATGGTTTGGGTGTATATTCATTCTTGTGAAACTCGGTCCATTTCTTAGGATCTTCAATTTGGAATCCGGTGAAAGTGTCTGGGTATCCCATTCTCGTATAATGTGTAGAGATGAGTTTTGGAGGGGTATATATTGGGGGGGTATCTAAACGGAGGAGTGTGTTAAAGACTGAGATGGACGATATGAAGAGTGGTATGAGGAAACAGGAGAAGGGGAAGAGAAAGAGGAAAATGAGAAAGGAATCTCTGAATAATAAATACTTCCTTATACACCCGTCAAGGCATCTCCATTCTCCCCCCATCCATGGGGAGAATCATGGGGGCATATGGAGGGTTTAAAATCCCCATTTAGGGGCCATTCACCCCACCATCCCAGCGGGGTTGATATTTTGGATTTATCTCATCAAATAGATTAATGGCATTGAGATTTTTTTCCGGGGTCGTTGTCGTGGGATGTTCATTTTATCCGTCGCCGGGGAAATTCTCGTTTGATACGTGGATCTCAATGCGGCTGCTTATTTTTCCACCACTTATAATGCGAAATTGGGGGAAATTTCATCATGGTACATAGTAGTACTGGTGGTACATAACATTCGCGGCAGATGCTATTTCATATGTCGGTAATATCTAGATCTCAATCAACTCACTTTAATAACATGTTATTAAATTGAAATATAGAATTATACTTTCTGAACAAGAACTAGTGATTTATTTAGTTGAGAAAAAACTATACTAAAAGCTTCATTTTCGCTACCCCTGAAGTCGCAGACCCATTTCGCAAGACAAAGATGCGTTCATTATCTACAGCGATCGTACACAGTTGTAAAGATCATTCAAGATGTAGCATGGAGGTTCATTGGAAAAATTGACAAGCTTAGCAATATGTAAAGGTTTGTAAAAAAACCCCCCAGCTAAGTTCTATTAGTTTTGATGTTTCGATCGTTGCTTAAGTTTTCTCCAGATTTTGCGAAATCAAGAATCGGGCCTCCCCTTCTCAATTGCGGTTCTTGAAGACATAATCGAACCGGCCTGCTTTAGCAAAACTATTGTTATGATCAGTTATGAGCAGTAAAAGGCCGAAAGGGGAGATTTTTCATACTTCCTTCAAAGTCATAATTCTTTGCCTTGAAGCTTCACATTTGGTACGCTCTGGTCCAAGAGCTTTCTCGTACCCTTCAAGTGCTCGCTGATACATCTCTTCGGCTTCTATTGACCTATCTATAGTGCTATTCAAATATACTATACAATATAGATCTCCAGGATAGACTTTTCCCTAATCAATTGAACTTTTCAATTTTTCATTATCTAATTGAGTTGTATATTGTCCTAGATATTGATTACTTATTCAAAACTCTAGTTCAATATCCGACATTATATTACTAGCAATAACTGATATAGCTGTAGAATATAGCTTAGTATCTACCTCGGAGTTCAAATACTTCAACATTCAATTATGCATATATATATATATATATATGAAGACTGTCCTGTCCTGACTGTGCTTCAGTTTCAACCTCAACAAGGGAAGACTCTCGCATTCGTGTTATTTTTACTACTTGTGTTCCGAATCGCAGCGGAGTGGTATCATGCTTGTCGTGATCGAAGACTGCAAAGACGAAGACTTGATCATGTTCTTTAAAAATTTTTCAATGCTGACCAAGGGGAGATGGTTGAAGCAAGAGGAAGATGGCCCAGGCCACAAAACCTATATTATCACGGTGCCCGGGATATTATTATTATTGTTATCATTGTTATTTTCCTCTCGTAGGAACCTCCCTGGGGGTATAAGAGACGTGTTAGGCTAGTTACAGAGGAATAGACAAAAGAAAAACATCAATCTGATCCTCCAAGCTATCTAAAAGATCTGCGAGCTTCGCTCTAGCCCCTGCGGGCTCTTCCTGGTGATCCTTCCCAGTTGTTTGCGAAGGTCGTTCTGTATCTTTCAAGCTTTTTTCGAAGGTGGGTGATCAGTGGAATATGTATTTGCGCTTCCTTTTGCTCTTTTTTGTGGTAGTGGTGCATTCAGCATCCGGGTGTTTATGGCGGCAGTTCCCTCGCGCCTAGTAGACTTGTGCTTAGTTGCACAAGTTGCGATCTGGTGTTTTTATAGTTGGTTTGAGATCGGGTGGGAAAGCTAAATGTTAGTAAGGGGGGGGGGGGGGGGGGGGCAAGCGATCCGGGTGAAGGGCGCGCGGCCATGCCTCGCTGCGCGTCCCCAGAGAAAAATGTGTATGAACGCTTATAAACAGATTCTCGAGTAGAACTCTGAGACGTTTAGTAGCTCAACAAGTTGTATCAGATGCTTTACACAACCTTTTAAGGTAGATTATCTCTTCTTCGCTGGTGCGCGGGGGGCGGCGGAGCTTGCCGAGCCATTTAGAAAATGACTTCTTAGCTTTCGCACAGAAGACTAAGTGTAAAGGGGGTTCTGACCTGCCGCAAGAGCATTTCATTGCAGCGTTCTCATGTTTCAAGCAAGTGTGATATGTTGTAAAATCTCAGTGCGCTGTACGGATCTGTACGGCACCCATACGAGTAATGCGGGGGGAGGATCGGCCTAGGGATGTGCGGGAGCAGCGCATCCACCTGTTGAATTTTGGATGCTGGCCGCTTCGGTGTTCCAGTTAGCACCCCCGTCCTCCTTATTGCTCTTATCGCCCTTCCTACTAGAGGGTATTTGTTATCCACAGTTTTAAGGCGGAAGGCTAAGCGTAGTCTAGGTTCCTCAACTGCCACTCTTCCGGATGGAAGCCCAGCGTCTCTAAAGAGGGTGGCATTTGGGCAGGTCCTCCATACCGGGAGTACCCCTCGGGCCGCCGCTGCAGTTTTTCTTTCCACTGTTTGTACATGTCATTCCTTGCCCGCCCGGACTGTAGGGTTATTTGCCTTTTTTTCTTCTCCGTACCCGCTGTGGGGATAGGTGTCACAAACGACTAGCGTACCATATTCTCGGGATTTAAAAGGATCAATGCGCTCGCATGAGATATTCGGCCGAAGTTGATGCGAAAGAGCGAGAACGCTGAGCTGACCCCAACTGCTGGTGACCACCGACGGTTAGCATACTATGTGTGCCACTTGGAATATCCTTTTCCAACACCAATCTCGGCAATTTTAAGGTCTTTCGATGTAGTTGGGATACTAGGATGAAGTAGGTAATTGAGTCCGTCTTTCCATAGGTAATGTTGTAATGTAGTTCTTTTCACAGAGTCAATACCAGCCTTAGCAGCAATGGATTAGAAATGAAGGTAGCGGAGGTAGACAGACCTTCCATTGGCATTGAGCCCTCGAGACAGCATGTAGCCTGGCTTTGCAACAGGAGTATCAGCCATGTCGTTTGATGAACGGAAATTTCAAAAGAGATATGCAAGATTGTTGCTCGGGGTTTATGGTCGAAGCAAAAAGGAAATTAGTCTGTACTTTATACATTCGTCGAGGAAAATTCTGAGTTGGCCTGGACATAATACTCATGCAAAGCTAATGCATCCGGATGCTCGCTGAAGCAGAAGATATATTGGTTGCCGGCGTAGTACCTAATCTGGAAGTGCTGAGTCAGATCCACTAGGCTGATTGTATAACATCAGAGCATATGCAATGTAACTGAAAAAAGTGATCAAATTTCAATTGGGTCTCAATATTTGCAACTATCATGGCAGAAAACGTCAAACAAACATCCAGCGAAATGCTTGCAACGCATGTCTGCGGTTACTCAAAACTTCTCTCTTGCAGCTCTTCTCAAGGCTTCCGCCGTCCATTCTGGATGACTGATCATGAAGCAGTGGCCACCCTCCTTGAGACTTTCTACAACATCAAAAGCGGTCGGATTCATCATTTGTGCACCCTTGATCATCATTTTCACCACCTCGGGTGTGAAAGAACTTTGATCAGCCTCGCCATACAAGAAAGTTGAGGGAACATCCAACCAGGCCGCATAGGTTGCAGTGCTGAAGTATACACCGAGACTTTGAGGGAGGAGTTCGGGAATTAACTTGTCTGCCTTTTTGGATGAGATGTCGTTACAGAAGATTCTCTTGGCGTCTTCTGGCTCAACAGTGAAAACCTCATTCTGCGGAGAAGATGTAATTAGTTATGAATTTCGTTGACTGTAGGTACGAAAAATTACTTCATGAGTTGGGTCCGGGTTGGTTGTCTTACCTCGGTATCAAGTTTCATCCAGTCAGGCATTTTAGCATAATCACCCTTCGCTGCCGCCTGGAAGCCCGGAGGAGTTGCGAATCCATTGATGACTACATATCTAATGAGACCACCTTTCAAGCCTTTGGCTTCTTGATATTTCTTGGAGAGACCCTTGGGAGCTTCGCCTCCGGGAAGACCTGTTTAGGAGTGAACGACAAGAACAACTTCCTTGCCAGCGGAGACAAGTTCAGTCAAGCATTCTCGGATGCTATTTACATCACCATTAAAGTCTTGGTGAGATGGCTTGGCGCCGGCAGAGGGTAAGGCAAGGCTGACGGTGGGATATCCGTGCTTCTCGAGAGATTGCGCGACTTCGGAGTAAATGAGGGGCTTGTGCCATGCACCAGGAACCATAACGATAGTTGGCTTTGACATGATGAATTCTTTGATGAAATATTGTATGTTGAAGAGAGATGGAGATGAGGAATGACGAGAAGTATGCCGATAGAGGGGGTGCGGGATTGTAATTGATAAAACCACAATTTCCAACAATAAAACCAATAAAATACATGCCCAGTGGTCAGATTTTCAGGGGTCACGCCGACTAGCTGTGCCCCGCTGTAGTCTCCACTTCTGCATTCACATCTGCGTTCGCTTTCCTTCCCCGGACGTGGCTGGGTGTCAAATGGGGGGCTATTCACCCATGCAAGTAAGTATATAACGGTATATGGATGGCGTAAGGACCGAGCGTGTACATGCAGGATGCTTGTACATCGTGCTGCAAATCCGTTTGGTATGTGGTAATGCCAACCTGGCTACCTAGCCCTAAGTAGTTAAAATAATTTTGACAAGCTCTGACCACCCTTTCTGGGCCATACGGAGTAGTAAGGTGGTTTGTGTAGGTATATGATACAACCTCACGTCGTGTAAGCATCAATATGACCCTCAATTTATTTGAAAGTCATTAGATTCTCCAACTCGATACCAACCGGCCGACGCTTCAAGCAATTCTGCAGTTCCACAAATTCTGTAGCTAGATTTGGGGCGAAACAATTTACGATCCTTGATTCCCAAAGCAGTGCTGATTGCAACATGTAATTTTGACAACCAATCGACCCGTGCAATATAGGGTTTCCAACTAGATACCAATTGCATCTTGTAGTAGCTTTACTGCGACTCTACAGTATAGCCAACTACAGCATGCAAGGATATTTGTAAATCACTTCCAACTCAATACTAACTGAATCATGCAAACGCTTCCAACCTCCAAAATCAATGTTAGGGACACTATTTCCTGAGCAATTTCCGGTCTTTGTTCCAAACATGTTGCCAACATATTGTATCAAAATTGGACATTCTTGAAGAATATGAGAGCTTTCCAAGTAAATAAGAGGATGCTGAAGCGCAGCCCCTGGGTTCCGTTTGGTCTATCTGTCTACTATACTCTTACAACATCCATTAAAAAGAAAACCTGAGCACTCAGATGACTTCCTCCAGCCCTTTGAAAGTGTGTAGCCACCTAGAGCTGTGCATGCCAATTGTAAAGTCCCTCCTTGTAACCACCAGAACGCACAAACCCCCAAAATCTTCGATTCCATTCAAGCATTATAACCATCCTACGCCGTATAAATTCCTTGTCAAAGCATGATGCATCAATGCTTTTCCCTAATAAGCTCACCCATAACTCCATAGTTTCCCTGAACTTGTTGAGCCTGGAACCAGAGAACTCCCACACTAATAACACACCTTCGATGAATTAAAGCCCATATAATACAAATTCCGTAATCTTAAAAAATCATGATCCATCAAATAAACCTCAAATCACTTGAATCCTCGAAACTTTCTCCTTGCCTTCCCCTTTTTTCCTTTTGCAGCTGGAGTAGTCCCGTTCATTTCACTTGGGCCGTCTTGAACACCAGCTAAAGCTTTGACATCCTCATCATCCATTTCGCTGAGGTCATCGCTTGTGTGAGAGCCATTCGTATTTTCGACTGGAACTTCTTGCAAGACACTAGTTCCTTCAGGCTGGAAATCCTTGACATACCAAGGAATGCCCCCATTATTGAGCACGTCTGCGCCATCCGTATTGTTTTCACCATTCGAAACTGGTGGTGTTGGTGGGGTAGGCTGACTGTCTTCTGGAGTAGAAGAATAGCCATTGGTATCAGGTGGCGTAATGCCATCACCATTTGTAGTGTGCGTTCCAATACCATTGTTAAGAAGTTGTGGATCAATCAAGTGGTCCGTGTCGGAAATGGTAGCAGACGCAACATGAATGACATCCTCGACATCATGCTCCGCATCAGCATCGGCATCGGCATCTGGCATATTTGTATCCATGAATTCAGCATTTGCAACAGGAATTTGCCCGCGTTCTGCCACCCCGGTATCTAGAGTCTCGGGAGCAATCTCTTGTGATTGTGCAACGTCGACCATGTGTTCGTCTTGCGATGGCTCTGGCGCTTCAACATCCGCAAAGGCATCAGATGAGCTGTTCGAACCTTCAGCAGGAAGTAGACAGTTTTCTAGTAAGACACTCAGCACTTTTAGCTGATCCTCAGGCCTAGTCTTGACAACATCACACTCGGCTCGAATTGCAGCCTCTAACATAGGCTGAACAGCCTTAATAATGCGTCTTCCGATTTTGCGGCGATTTTGCACATTTAAATTTACCGATTTGGAGAATGTCTTTTCGATATCCGCAGCCATATGCTCTTTCTGTTCACCTTGCGGGGTATCTTCCATAATAGCAGCAGTGATGGTGGAACTGAAGTCTTTCGCAAATGCCCCCGTAGTAGTATAAAAGCGTTGATTGAGCTTGTCGCTGAGTCGACTGAGACCACCGGTAAATGCCTTTTTGCTATCGATTCTGCGGTTTATTAGCTTTTGTCGCCCCCATAATAGGGCGAAACCTTACTGTAAAGCCCTTTCAATGACCGGAGGCAGTAAATGCGCCACAGGGAAGTATATTGTATCGACAGCATCTTTTTCGACCCTTGCAGCTTCTAACTTCTTCAATTCGCGCTCTTTGATTTCTCCAGCAAGTTCACGAAGTTTTCCCATATCTTTGAGTAGAAGTTGAGCAAAATCGATACGGCGTGCAAGTCTTTCCCTTCCTACGTGACCCATACCGGAGAAGTTGCGCCGGGTGATTTCCATGGAAGAGAAACTTTCCATTTGGAGTTGCAATCGCTTTAAAAGAGCTGCACCTCTTCGGGCCTCCCTCTTGAGGGTCCAGTACTTACAACAATCTGCAGTCCACTCCCTACGTCTGCGAAGATTATAACGTTGCAATGACATTTCAACAGAGTTGAAAATAACTTTTGGAATGATCGGAGCACCCGAAGGAAGTTTCCAAATACCTTTGATTGGTTCTTCGGACTGGATATCTTGATTGTATTGCAGCAATGATCCCCGGGCACCATTTAAGTCAATGGCTTCTGGATGTCTTCCTGCTTTACGATGAGCTATAGCCAACATACCAGCAGCTTCGTTGGAATCGGCCCACACACGGCCACGCATAGTCTTCTTGTAGAATCTCCGAGCTTCAGCAGTAGCGGCGACAGTGTCGTTCTCCCGAGCATGATCTTGAGGCGAGTGTTTATCACAAAAGGCTTTCAGAACAGCGTGTCCATCTAGAACAGCCAAGGTCCCATGGTTATTCTTCATCTTCAAAAACAGACGAGCTCTGCGAGCACAAGTAACGTGGAAAGCTGTGAAGCAGGCTTTGTTGCCACATTGCACACATGCTCCCATACTTTGATTACAGATGTAGCAGTTTAATTTCCACCTGCTTTTCGGGACCTTCTCAACTTCCATAACTGGTTCCATGAATGTAGTGTTACCAAGAGAAACCTCAGGAATCCACATGGCACAGAGTAAATGCGACCATTTTGAAGCATTGGTTTGCTTGAAAGCTCCATCAGTGTTGGGACAGAAAATACATGTCTAAAGACGAATTAGCATTAAGAGTGGAGATATAATGTCGAGTATGACTTACAGGAGTCGAGCGTCCAATCAACTGACACTTTCTGCACATCCATTGACCTTCGGGGATGAAAGGTACTCCGTAGCATTCTTGATGCACAGCCAAGTCGCAACCATCGCAGAAAACAATGGCGTTGGTGTTTTCACAATCTCCGTCATCGCAGATAGCACATTTACTATCTTGTTCTTCTCCAACCTGAGCTTCACCATTAACGGCAGCAGCGGAGCTGGACCTTGGCCGATGGGTTTGAGGTGGTTTTGGATTTGGCTTTGGTATAGTTCGCTCTAGATTATGCCAGTCTTTCTCTATCTTAGTTAGAGTAACTTCGAAAATGTGTCGAGGAACCTCATCAACGCCTTCCGCCTTTCGCTTCTCATTATATTGCTGCAGCCATTTATCATCTGCCTCATCCATGTCATACTCAACACGACCAAGAGTGCTTCCAATTCCATCCAGATCCTCGTTGAAGTTAATATCGGAAGCTTTTATGAATTCTTGCTCAGGTCGAATGAATTCGTCACTTTCCTGATATCCTACATTTGCCATGGATTTATCAACATATTGATCGAATTCTGGGGTATCGAACTTTTTAAGAGTATGCGTTAGACGGAACGAGGGTTGTGGAAGAGTCAATTTTTCCTTCGCGGTGGTATTCATGACATTTATACCCTTTGGTGTCTTTGGCGTCTTCGGAGAATTAAGGCCGATGGATATTCCAAGGTTCGCAGCAGCTCTGGCGGCGTAGAATGCCTCAGGATTCTTGGGAGGACGGCCAGGTCTTCTCTTGCCCCCTCCTGGTGTACCTGGAATGGTATATGGTACTAGAACTCCATTTGTACTAGGAGTAGGTATTGCAGGATTTGGAGTTGTGCTTGTGCCATTGTCACCATTATCAGCACTCTGTCCAGACTTACCATTCGCCGATCCTTCCACTAATTGTGATGCGCCGGCAGGTGTTACAGGTCTCGAGTTTGATATTCCCTCCACTGCTTCTTGACTGAAACACATCATTTCTTGATTTATGTCTAGATCGGGATGAAATTCTTCCCAACTTCGTTCCTCTCGAGGTTTGTATCCATCATTTTGCGCGACAGCTGCAGCAGCCTGCGACGATGATCCGAATCTACCTGGGGCAGCCATGGGGGGTTGTTGTGCGCGAGGAAGTACCGTCCTTGTTTCTGTTGTCCGATATCTCTGCGAGGGTAAACTACAGGCTGGACTCCGTTCGCAGCGTTTTCGCGTCCTATACGACCGCCGAGGTCCAATATAATTATAACCCCCTGGTCCTGTACCGCCGACCTAAAAGTAGATCTTGGCCGTTCTCGTCCACGTATCTGCCTCCTCCACCGGGACCGCCTGGTACGTAACGACCCTTTTTGGGAGGTTCGGATGTTGGATTTTTGATAATTGGGTTTTCAAATCGACGATTTGAGGCTGACGCGGATTTGGGACGTGTAGATCTTGTACCTGAGCCACTTGCAGCTCTTCTGGGGGTTCAGGTATTGGCGTCGGGCCATGTTGATATTTAATTCACTCCGACGTATTTATGCGACAAGAATGTAAAAATGTGGACAAAGGTGAGTTTGTGCCACGTAGTGCGGGCAGTTAAAGCTGATGATGAAGACTAGTGTTAGGTTCCGTGAGGGGCGAGGCGCTATGGATTCAGAAGCAATAAAGACACAATTATGCGCGTCTTTCTCTTGATAAATGAATTGAGTGATGCTCTAAGAGTGAATTTACACGAAATAATGTGGAAGATATGAAGGTTATCATGATCTAACTATGTTTGATGTAGCCAACATCTTCAGTATGGTAGTCGCAATGCTGTTGCCCCTTCCGATTAGGTTTAGCTGACATCAAGGATCAAGTCCCATTTTGAGTTTAGCATCGGAAAAAAGTATCAGGATGTTCCGATGGATTAGTAATCTACAGATGCTACACATTATCACCGTCCGTGCATGTTTCCCTGCATCAGCACCAGCATCCACCCGCTCCAGCTCCAATCATTGCACAATGAGATTGTGAGCATTGTTCGATTGTTCGATTGATTGATTGATTGATTGTACGGATTTGGAGTGTATACCATGAAATGTCTATACAAACATTGGATGAAGTGCGGGTGCCTTCTCCAATAACTTCATTGCTATACTTTGATGTTCAGTCCTACTAAAAGTTAAGTTCCCAACTTCAACGACTCTACATGAGGCATACATTTATACACAATTTGGGTATGACACCCATTCCTGCCACTGGGTATTCACATCTATATTCTATATGCAAAGCTAGTGCTTTCTATTGTCTCTACATGCATCAAGCTTTTGGGGTAACAGTCTGTAATTCAATATCCTACGAGCTTCAATATTCCATACTTCCTTTAATCTTTCATACTTCCTCCAATCTCTCTCTTCACATGCCACCGATATCTCAAAGGATAGTTTGTTGTTGTAAACAACGTTTCTTCGTACACTTCAACAAGTGGACCTTGACGACACTCAGTTGTCTGTTTAGCAAACGTCCCCAGTTTTTACGAACAAAGTCGTTGCTTCCATTTATTTCACACCAAAAGTTTGGTCTTGGGGTGCCTCGTAGTAGTTGGCAAATCCACCGCCCAAAAAGTAAATCCGGCATCAACCGCATCTATCAAGATAGAAAGCGAGAAAATTATTAGACATGTGGAAGATTTTACTTCGAGAAAGCTCCAATCGCATTCTGTACAGCTTTGATATGTTTTGGATAGTAATTACGATGTGCAGACGGGGTTCAATTTTTCAACCTCCTCAACACAAGATAAATAGTAGATTGTTGAATGCAGAGAAATTCAAGTCATTCTCCTTGAATTTCAGGGGATTTTTGGGCACGAAAGAGCTAAGTCCAAACGAAAGCAATATCAAATCGGAGATCGTTATATACAACTCTATCTTTCTACTATTGCTCTTCGCAATTCATTGCACGGAGATCATTTCGAGTATTGATGCAGTAAAATAGATCATATACTTCTACAATAGTGAGAAGTAAAGGTTCAAATAACGGAAATTTGTCGTCTTTGTACTAAAGTTCTGGAGTGGATGATATGTGAGTCGTGAACCTGGCACTCTTGCTGCATGAGCCTGAATCTAGGTTAAGCCTCGCCGACGTTCCACAAATGCAATATTAACTTCGGTATTGCATCGAAAGAATAACATAACACTCATGTATAGCTATGCTTCACCTACTTTTCGCTGTTCATCAAACTTGTTACATCGATTGATTGGTCAACCCCGCAATGGTATTTCAATCAGCCTATTTGACATCTCCACAATCTGTCCGAGTGCGGGGAAAGGCGATGATCCTTCACCCCACAACCTTCAATAGCTCGCATAATGACAAGAATCCTTTGTCACTAAACCCTATCGCTGTATAGATGAACCCATGATAGGCCATTCCCATGGATATTTCGCATTTAGCCATTAGTTTATCCAGAGCTCGTTCTGCAGCTTCATGATACGTACTGCATAGGAGTTCAGAGCTCCAGGATATGTGTTTAGAGCCAGTAAAAAAAAATATAAAGAGGGTCAATTTCCGGTCATCATCTTGCTTATTCCAATTTCTTGCCTTTAAACTTCGCTATTGTGAAAGTTCATATAATAAGATATTATTCACTATGGCAGTTGGGGCTCCCGCTCACGGCATTCACGATGTGGCTCTGCAACGTCGACAAAAGCTTATAGGGGCCAGTGGCCAGCGGCTTTAGTTAAAAACTTTCGAGTCTTCAGCATTGCCTTGTTCGCTTGCATTGGAGGATTGTTATATGTATGTGGCTTCATATAAACCCCGTAGATAGAAAAATTGATTACGAAATTAACTCACGTTGTGTGAAAAATAGGGTTACAATCAAGGCGTTTTTTCTGGTGTGCTCACTATGAACTCATTTATGTCTCGCATGGGAAATTATGATAGCACAGATCCAGCAGATCAAGCAGAAAAGGATGGTTAACTAGTATATTGGAATTGGGCGCGTGGCTTGGAGCACTCCTAAGCGGATTTATGCAGAGGCATTGAGCAGAAAGTACGGGATTCTAATTGCTACCCGGTATGCTCCTTTTTTCCAAGTCCCTATACGCAAAGAGTTTCAAATGCCTAGGAAGAGATCGCATCGGGTTGAAAAGGTTATTGACATTCTATGCTCAAATATAGCTGTATTTATCATCGGCGTCATAGTCCAAGCGACTGCTATCTCCGTTGGCCACTCCGCCATCTTGGGCGGTCGTTTCATAACTGGAATGGGCGTGGGAAGTCTCAGTATGATCGTCCCCATGTACAATGCCGAAGTCGCTCCGCCTGAAGTACGTGGATCTCTCATTGCTCTCCAACAACTTGCCATCTGTGCCGGTATCATGATATCCTTCTGGATCGACTACGGCACAAACTATATAGGGGGAACTGGTGCGACGCAATCCGATGCAGCATGGCTTGTACCAATTTGTCTGCAGCTCTTCCCGGCTGTGATTCTTTTTGTCGGCATCTTGTTCATGCCTTTCTCGCCTAGATGGCTAGTGCATCACGGAAGAGAAGCGGAGGCTAGGAAAGTGCTAGCACAACTGAGAAACTTACCCCAAGACCATGAGTTGGTAGAAATAGAGTTTTTGGAAATCAAGATCCAGAGTTTGTTTGAAAAGAGATCGATCGCAGAATTATGGCCTGGTCTCCAAGAATTAACTTGGATGAATACCGCGAAATTACAGTTTGTGGCAATTGGGAGTTTGTTCAAAACAAAACCTATGTTTAAGAGAGTGATAGTAGCGACCGTTACTATGTTCTTTCAACAGTGGACAGGTATTAACGTATGTGCAGTTCTCTCCTCCTATCAAGCCATAATATGTCAACATCTCATTAGCTTTCCACTAAAACCCACTCCCTCTAGGCAATTCTCTACTACGCCCCTACAATTTTCGCATCCCTGGGTCTCTCCAGTAACACTGTCTCCCTTCTCGCCACCGGCGTTGTCGGCATTGTAATGTTCATCGCAACCATTCCATCTGTCCTCTACATCGACAAGTTAGGTCGCAAGCCCATTCTTACAATCGGTGCAATCGGCATGGCCACGTGCCACATAATCATCGCTGTCATCGTAGCCAAAAACAGAGATTCATGGGAGGAACATAAAGCCGCGGGCTGGGCTGCTGTGGCTATGGTTTGGTTTGTCTTTCCCCACGCTCTTTTCCCCTCGCATACTTCTTCTTCAGAGTCTAACATGCAAAAGGCTCTTCGTAATCCACTTCGGCTATTCCTGGGGTCCCTGCGCCTGGATTCTCGTAGCAGAAATCTGGCCCCTCTCCAATCGTCCCTACGGCATCGCACTGGGTGCCTCCTCAAACTGGATGAATAATTTCATCGTCGGCCAAGTAACGCCTGATATGTTAAGTGGTATTTCCTATGGTACCTATATAATATTTGGGTTGTTAACCTATCTCGGAGCGGTATTCATATGGTGGGGTGTACCGGAGACGAAGAGATTAGGCTGTGAGTGTTTTCCAGTATTCATGGGGAATGAGAGGTGGCGGGTGTTGTGTTGCTTCTCATTATTTTTGTGTTGTCTCACGCAACTTCAAAAGTTCCTGAATCATGCATGTATGACGGATTATAAGCTAATTAATCAAACAGTGGAGGAGATGGACCTAGTGTTCGGTAGCGAAGGTGTAGGCCGTGGTGATCTCGAAAGAATGGAAGCTGTACGTCACGAGGTAGGGTTAGACAGGATTCTTGGGGAGATTAACACCAATGGTGATGTATCGCCAATAAAGGACATTAAGAGTGATCAGGCTGAGAAGATTCATGAGATGTAGACGAAGTGGATGAACATTGATGCATCAGATTCGCTGGTACTTTTTATAAGGATTAGGAAGTGTAACAGTCTTGGTATAATGGAAGATATAATATAGGATCTAGGGTTGTATTCATTCGCTTGTATTAGGAGGTTCATTATCTATATGTACGCGTAAACACCTAACTCCCAACTGCCAGTTTGTGGTATATCCCTCTCGCTACGCCTAGACACGTCCACCCCCGTTCCATTTCGTAAAGCAAAATCTCACAACAATGACCGCAAAAATTAAAAACAGAACAAAAACGAGTGAACGGAAAAATAAGTCCCCGAGTTCAAAATGAATGAGCCAAAATCAATATCAGTCATGGCCCTATGTACGATCAAGCCGATGGGTCATCTGCCTTTCTTGCCTTCACGACATCCTTTGCACCTCCGTCTATTCCCGAACTACCTCCTTGGTCGTTGAGTAATGGAATCTTATCCAAACTAGTACTTCTTGGGTGATCTGGTCTCTTTGTCTCGCCATTAGTACTTAACATTTCTCCGCCCTCGGATCTGGGTGTCATCAAAGGAGATGTCATTAATTCGGGAGTATTATGCCATTTCTGAACTTCTCGCTTCATCTCCTCAAGCTCGTTTTGAAAACGTTTGCCAAAGACTTCGATATAATAATTTGCGCCGTTATAAACAGACCAGCAGAATACAGCCATGATGAATGATGCAGACGCATATCGGTACCAGAACCATAGAGGGCATGGTAACATGGTGAGCAAGGCATAAGAGTATTGAATAAGCATAAATGCAGGCTCTTGCATAGATTCAGGAAGAGCGAGAACCGCTTTGCCAATCCAGACTTTGGAGTATGATTTTAGCAGCCAGGTGAACGATGTCGGGCGACCTGCAGCAATCTTCTCACGGCGGCGGACAGTGATGAGAAAATGGTAAGAAAGTTGCCATGTTGCATATGGGATAGATGACCACAATGCCATGGATAGCAGGCCGTAATGATTTTTTGACCCTACCGGAGATGTACGTATATCGTAGATGGCACTGAAACGTGATTGTTGGACGGATGGGTCGATGAGATGGACAAGACAATGAAGTGTTACGCAGGGCATTATGTGAATAAAGAGAGACGTAACCTTGTCGAAACTGTGAAATACCATAGAATTCCTCCACATGGCAATCGCTACTGCATTGTTGCCCATGGCCAGACAGTAAGTGCTGATGAATAGTCGTTTTGACTGTGGAAAGATCCAAATGGAGAGAAAACAGAGGAAGTTTGTAAAGTAACAGAGATCCGCGAGAAAATAGTGATATCCCCGTTTGTGGTAGGCATAAAACCGGATGGGCATGAAGTATAGTAATTGGGCAGTGTACCACCAGTGGAACAACTCAGGATATCCTCCGATCAAGTAGCCACTAATGAGAACATTCAAGACTCCACAGATGAAGGAGACCTTTTCTCGAATTGTCACTGATTTCGTATCATTCCAATGTGTCCCAAGTTTGTCAACACTATCACGCATCCTCTTTTTATATCTGTCCAGCTGCTCATCGGCAGTTGGAACACGCTTTCGCCATTCTTCAACAACCCGGGTCTTTGCATAACTGGATCTTGTCTTTAACTTGTCTCGCTGCTTTCGAACCTTTTGGGATTGCGCGGACAGGTTTCTCTGTATCCTTTCGAGTTGTTGAGGCAAATCAAAGTTCTCTAGTAAGTCGAAGACAGTGATCTTATCCAAAGGAGGCCAAGGTTCCCAATCTTCTTGATATGTGCTACTTCCAGAGGCAGAGGGGCGCCTTGAAAGATGAGGACTTCCATTTTCGGAGGTTGTGTATGCGGGTGTAATGCCATCCTCCGGGGGAGAGTTTCCAGCTGATGAATCCCCGCTAGTAAGATGTTGTTCAGAAGATAACGAAGTTGACTCGAGTGCAGGCTCCGACTTAGAAGCTGGTATGGGTATAGGTTCAGTCATTTCTGCTATCGAACGTGAACGGGCGTGAATCGGATCGTAAAAACAAATGCGCCTAAACGCAGAAGCACCTCTTAAAGCTATGTCAGCCATGTGTCCAGAAATCTTGTGCTATGCACCCGAATATTACAGATAAAAAGCAACAACTAGGACAACTTACAGAAAAGTATGCTGCTGCGGATGAAGAGTCTTAATATGCGTTTAAGAATGCCCAAGTAGTATTGACTACTGTTGATTTGACTACTGTTGATCGAAGCACATGAACAAAGTTCGAAAAGGTGATAGGTTATCAAAGAAGAGTAGGATGCTTTAGGTGCCTCTCGACTCGAAACTAGTCCCGAAAATAGATAGGTTTTGTTCTGGACCAGTTCTTTCGTGAGTAATGTTGAAGGAAGTGAGATCGTGCTTGCTTTGAGAGATGTGGTTGGATGTTGATGTCGAGATGGAAACAGACCACCTAGTTTGTTGGTATCGAGAAAAAGAGTGAACTTCTGCTTGATCACAAGAGATTCTTTATTGTAGATGTTAGCTAGATTTCGAAGAGATGAAATAGGGAGATGATGATATCTTCCAAAAAAAAAAAAGTTGTTACTTTTTATTTGATATAATCGTTGTCTCCAATAGAAAGCAGATAAGTTTTACTAGCTGGGAGTACAGTCGTGTACAAGCTTGGAATTGCTACCAATCAATCAATAAAGTTGATCTGGGGAATACATTTCGTCCATTGCTACTTTAAGACATAAGAACCCTGATTATCTAAGGAAATACGGTTGTCCATTATGACATATGGTAATAGAGGCTTTACAGAGTAGATCTACGTTGACCGTTATCACCTGGTGGACTTTCAAATACACCTTGACTTTATGTCATGTGACCCATAATTCGCGTTCCGCGACTTTTTGTGATGCTCAATAGAGCTGCTGGGAAAGTTGAGGTTAAAGTAATCGTAAACCTACCCTCTCCTCGCACCAAACTTTACCTCCATCGTATCGTTCCAGAAGCATTACCACTTGGTACGGATGCCATGTTAATGCGCCACTCTTAATTATCTCCATTTATTCCTGACTGGATCTTACCCTCGTAGTTACTCTTCTTTCTTAACGCGTGCACCCCGCTGCGATCAACGCGTATAAGTCAAGATGGGAAAACTCATACGCCTCGAGCTTTTTAGTAAGATAGTCGCGCTGTTAATGCTATTGCTTAAGCTGATCATATGTAGATTTCAAGTCGTATAAGGGGCACCATGTACTCTTGTTTGGAGACTCGTATTTTACCTCCATAATCGGTCCAAACGGCTCTGGAAAATCGAATTCGTAGGTGGTTTGTAAAACATCATCAGCAGACGCTAATTGAATAACAGCATGGACGCGATCTCTTTTGTTCTAGGCATCAAATCGTCTCATTTACGATCTGCACAATTGCGAGATCTCGTATACCGCGGAAGAGTATTGAAAACGTCAAAAATCAACGACGATGGATCCGCGGTTGACCCAACTGCCAATGGACTCGCAAATGGGGATGGGGAAGGTTCGGATGAGGAATCACAATCCCAAAAACCAGCGCGCAACGATCCCAAGAGTGCGTGGGTTATGGCTGTTTACGAAGATGATCAAGGCGAGGAACAGAAATGGAAGCGTTCAATCACAAACCAAGGTGCCAGTGAATATCGCATCAACGATCGCGTCGTCACCGCACAAGCATACAATGACGCCCTTGAATCAGAAAACATATTGATTAAAGCTCGAAACTTTTTGGTGTTTCAAGGCGATGTTGAAGCTATTGCGTCGCAATCACCGAAGGATCTGACCCGACTCATCGAACAAATATCTGGCAGTCTGGAATACAAAGCTGAATATGAAAGATTGCAAGAGGAGGCAGAGAAGGCAGCAGACGAGCAAAATTATAGCCTCCATCGCAGACGTGGCATCAATTCCGAGATCAAGCAGTATCAAGAGCAAAAGAAAGAGGCTGAGGCCTTCCAGAACAAGGCAGTGGAAAAGGATGAAGCCATCATTGAGCACATCTTATGGAAGTTGTACCATTTTCAAAGAGTGATGGACGAGTCGAGCGCTAGCATTCAAGAACACCAGGAAAACCTGAAGGAGTACCGCCGTGGCGTGGAAAAGTATCAGAATAACTTGGATGCGGCTAGAGCAGAACAAGCCAAGGTTAACAAAGATGCTAGCCGGATAGAGCGAAATATTAAGCGGAAGGAGAAGGAGCTCGAGGAGAAGGAAGTTGAGTTGGTACCATTTGATGAAAAAATCAAGACTGTCACATCTCAAATCGAAATGTTGAGAAGAAAGTCGGTCCTCATAGCAAAAGAGCGGGACGACAAGTCCGGGAAAATTGCGAAACTTAAAAAGGACCTCGCGTTGGTTGAAAAGGCACAGAAACAATTCGAGGTCCAGTGGCAGGAAGCTCTTAAAAATCAGGGAAAGCAATTAAGTGACGATGATTTCAAGGAGTACCAGAAGCTTAAGTCCGAAGTCGTCAAGAAGACATCCGAGGATCAAGCTAAGCTTGACAACCTGGTCCGCCAATTGAAAACCGACGAAGTAACCGCGAACAGTTTGAAAGGTAAAATGGAGGCTGCGCAGGCTTCGGTAGAAAAGCTCCAAAGTGAGTTGGACACCAGCATGAGACGCAGAGACAACCTCAAGGAGTCGATTGCCGAGACAACTAGGGACAGAAACGCCAAGAGAGAGGAGCATAACTCTCTCAGGTCAGAACGCGTTCGACACAACCAATTGAAGACTGACCTCGAAGAAAAACTTCAAGAAATTCTCAAACAAATCAAAGAGGGTGAATACGGGCGAAGAGAGGGCGAGAAGGAGAGAAGAGTCAAAGAAACAATAACCGAAATGAAGCGAATATTCCCTGGCGTTAAAGGACGGATCGGCGACCTTTGCAAGCCTAAGCAGAAGAAATTCGAAGAAGCTGTAAGTACAGCTCTTGGTCGAGACTTCGACTCCATTGTTGTCGATACGGAGAAGACTGGTACCGAGTGTGTGCAATGGTTGAAAGATCGCAAAAAGTCCCCTATGACTTTTATCCCTTTGGACAATATCAAGGTCAACGCAACAAACTCTTCGTTGAAAGGACTGGCCAAGGCCCGCCTGAC